GGATTACCCTGTTACAGTTCTAAGCCAAAACTTGTGAGACAGAGTTACTGGAAGGAAATCAGGTTTAATCAGGTGCTGGCAAACCTGAGGACTTGGGGGACTATTGTCACAAAGGCCATCCTCCCGCAGCAGACCTCTCCTGCCTAACCCGTTGCTCCCCTCAGCAGTGTATTTCAGTAGATCCAGCTGTTCTGCTCCCCACTCTGTCTCTGGTGAATCCTCTCACCCCTGCCCCCTGTACTCCTGGCCTATGCCCCAGTTCTTGTATGCATAAATAAATAAATCTTTGAAAAAAGGCTATCCTCCCCCAAATTGAGGAGAAGCAGGGGTTTATTTGGGAGAGTAGAAAGGAATGAGATTAGTCCTGAGTCAGCAGGATTTCAGAGAAATAGGCAAGCAAGGTTTTTCAGGAACTGCATTCAAGCTCCTTTGTATTCCAATTTCCGTCTTGACTAGATCTGTCAGGCCTGGCTGGTGTGCATTTCGCTACGGTAAAGAGGTCGTTGGTTTAGCAACTTGTCTTACCTTTACCTCCATCTTGGTCTCAGCTAGTTTTGCCTGGTTTTCTGGTTTTGTCTGCAAGAAAAGATAAAAAAGGAGCAGAGCAAGGATGAACAATACAAGGACGAGGAGCTTTTCATTATCAGGCTGGTGACAAAAGTGCTCAGAGAATGAGCACACCCAAGAGGAGAGCACCAGTGGGCTTGTAGGATGGCCACCAGCCTCCCTCAGGATCAGAGTCTACCGTTCCCAGCATCCAACTCATCGGGTGCTGTTTTCTTTTTCCTACTTTATTTTTTTTTTCTTGCCAACCGAGTCAAACAAAAATGAAAAAATCAGATTGTGTTTTAATCATAATCATGTACAAAGTGGAGTTCTGCTTAACTGTGGTGGCTGTCTTGGGTCAAGGTTTAGTCCTGGCATAATCAATTGTGTCTGGTGGTTAATGTGGGGTCTCTGGGAAGCAGACCCTGAAGCAAGGATTTGGATACAAATTTTTGTTTGGAGGGTGCAGGGTAGAATGGGAATTTAGAGGGTCTTCTGACTTTGGCCTTGTCACAGGTAAGCAAGGGAGTCATCTGTAAAAGTGAGTCAGGTGAACAGAGAGCCTGATCTAAATTATGTGGGTAGAATGGTTCTTTAAGGTAAGTCATTTCCAGGAACATAAAAGGATGGGAGAATTTTGGAAAACAAAGGTTAGGGGATGTCCGAACTGTTATTATTTTCCAGGACTCAGAAAACACTCAACATTGTCAAGTTCAATTACACTACATGCCTTGTCTATTAAAAAAAAAAAAAAACTACACACACACACACACACAGAGGCAACAAGAAAAATCTTTTCTAAAGACAAATGGGAAAGCTGAGGAATAAATATTGCCCAGGCAGATCCTGTGAATAGATTGAAAGAGCAGGTGAATGCTTTCACAGGCAAGGAGCAAGGTCTGCGTAAGTTCCTGGGTCTTGAAAATAAGGCTTTTCTTTTCCCTGGTTACAGGGAGAGCACTTCTCACATGTGTCTTATGATCTATAGAAGGTCAGAGGTCAAAGGGTCCTTTTGGCACCTGCTATTTCTCAAATCAGCTTACAATGTTCAATACACCAAAATGCCATATTTGGAGGGGCGGTGTGTGTCACAAGTAGCAACACACGACTAACTGGATTCATCAGAGGTTAGATATTATAATATTTGAGAATACCATCTTAGCCTCTGTAATTATTTGTAGTATAAATCAAGGGACCCCAAAGGTTAACTGTTAACTGACAGCCCCCAAACAGAGAAAATGGGTGAGCCAAGAGTAGGAAGGCATCTTCCAGGAGGTCCCGTGTGGTGGGGGCGAGGACTTAGCTCCTCCATGAGTTGCTCATGAGTCACGATTTCAGGCCTTCGCCCTGAATTTTGTCACAGAACTACTTGACCCCAAGGAGCCTTCAAATGAATTAGAGTCAGGTGCTTCCTTATTCTAGGACTGTGCAGGCTGGATTTTAGTATAGTCTTACTTCCCTGTGCAGTGAACAAGCTGTTCAACCAGCTGCAGTGACCCTGCAAAGAGTATCAGGAGCAGTAACTTTACTTGAAGGGCACTTCTGTTAACTAAGTACCCAAGGCTGGTGAATAAACGCAAAAGGTCCATTATTTTTTGTTGAGAAGTCACTACCACAGGGGTTCAGGCATGTGTGTTTTTATGAGTAGGGAGGATCTGGCAAGATAACCGCATGTTTAATTTAATCCTCATAATAACCTATTATTTTATTAACTCTATTATTAATATATGAGGAGCCTGATGCTCACAGATTAATTTGGTCAGCACATAAAATGACAGAGCTGAGATCTGAAGCCGGCTGTCCAGTTTCCTTAGTCAAGGCAAGGAAAGACCCTTCTCTTAGTCACTGCCGATGTGAGGCCTCTAAGTATCACTGTTGCTCCTTCGTCTTGTTTGGGGCTGAACAAACACACCTCAGAAGGGGCTTAGTCTCTTTTTTTTTTTTTTAAGCCGTGATACTGCCTTCCCCCTGAGGGTCAAGGCCTGATATCCACCCTGTACCCTTGAGATGACTTTATGACTCTTTGCTCTGACCTGCTGACTCAAGACTTCAAGGCTTCTTATGGAGGACTTCACCCCCTTTTCCCAGTTATTGTGGGACATTTCCCATGGGTACACAAGTTCTGACAACAAACACCCACTCAGATAATCAGAAAATCCAAACCAGTCTGAAAATTTCAGAGGACAAATTGTTTAGTGTTTCTTTACACAAAAAAACTTTTGAAATGCTGTGAGAAAAAAATTTCTGGCATTTGTGGGTATTTATATTTGAGGAAGCTGGCTGTTGGAGGAACCCTGATGTGAAGATTTTTGTAAGCCAAGGACCAGGTTTGTAAATCAAACAATTACCCCCTGTTGAGATAAAACAGCAGTGTCCATTTCCTGGCACTCACTATAGAAACTGTGCAAGGGTTTCACATCTATTATCTTTCTCTCTCTCTCTCCCTCTCTTTCTCTCTAACAGCTTTTTTCTCCGATATAACACATACTGTGTTATTCACCTTTTTAAAGTGTGCAATTCAGTGGCTTAAGTATGTTCACAAGGCTGTGCAACCATCACTACTATCTAATTGCAATTCAGTGGCTTAAGTATGTTCACAAGGCTGTGCAACCATCACTACTATCTAATTCCAGAACATTTCCATATTCCAAACTCCTGTATCAGTTTGAAATCATTCGTTATTCTCTCTCTCCCCAGTCCCTGGTGAGCCATTAATCTATTTTTTATCTTTAGAGGTTTGCCTTTTCTGGGCATTTCTTATAAGTGGAACGGGACAATATGTGATTTCTTGTGCCTGGCTTCTTTCACTTACATGTTACCAAGGTCTATCGCTAGTGCTGCATATATCAGTATTTTATTCCCTTTCACGACCAAATATTTCACCGTACATCTATGCTACATCTGTTTATCTACTCATCAGTTGATGGATTTGGGGGTTGTTTCCATTTTTGGCTACCACCTCATTTAATATTCATCCATTCTTTGAATTTTGTGTTGTCTTCCTTTGCGTGAGTGTTTTCTAGAACATCAAAAATAAATCTCTCCAAGAATCCACTGAGTAGACTTAAAAGTTCCAGAGACTAGTCAAATACTGATTCTTATATCAAAAGAAGATGGGTTCTGGATTTTAGCTTTCTTCCCAATCCTGCCCCTAACCACAGTCAAATGTTCTGAGCCACAAATCCAGCTCCTTCTTGAATGCAGAGATACCTTTATTAAGAAAAGTTTTGGTATTTTTATGTTCTCGGCACTTGAACTCTTAAGAGATCATCTGGTCCTTTTTACATACCACAGGATTGTTGCAGAAATGCACCGTAGGCAGTTATTTCACTCTGCAGCCCTGGCTAGATTCTAATGCCCTCTCTGACAGTTAACAGAGGTGTGACTTCCTACTTAGCCTCTCTAGGCTTCCATTAAATCGCTGAAGAATGGGGTTAATAACTACTTCAAAACTTCTGTAAGAAGTCAAGTGTTCAGACAGTGCCTATCATATTGTAAACTCAAACACTGGCTCAGCTACAGTGGTATTGTTACTCCTCTCCCATTCCACACACACTGGTCCTTTTCTCTTAAACACCCTCAACCCCCTACAGCCAACCACAGCTACACCGCCAGGCCCCACTGTCCTTTCCTGGCTAACTTCCCATTCTTCTGATCTCACTTTAAATCCCACTTCCTTGTGTTACAGGGCATGGAGAAGTGTGTCCCAGCACTTGGGCCTGACTTCACAGGCACATCACATTGTTATAGGGCAGCCCCGATATTGGGTTGCCTGTCTGTGGGGTTACAAAGCCTGTATGGAATTAGCTTTAGGACATCCTTTCCCCCCTAACAACATCACCCTCTCCTTGTTTGAGCACCCTGCATTTCCCCTTCATTTCATGATCAGTTTGCAATTTTCTTTTTACCTTAGTCTTTCTGTCCATAAATGTTTGCTTTATCAGGGGCTTTGTTTCTCTTGCTCTCTGCCACATCCTCAGTGCCAACAGTGGTCTAGAATAACCCAGGCACTCATCAAATATTTATTGAAAGCAGCTCCATCCTTATACCTCACAACTGGGTTCCAGCAGGAAAGCCTCCTCCCCTCATATCACACTCTTTACTAGTGGGCTGATTCTCTCATCTTCCTCCACAAGTAACCTAGCAAGAACTTTGCGAACTTGCTCGCTAGTATACACATTGTAAATTGAGGGATTAGTGCAGTGATGACGTGGCAAGGTGACCACGAGGAAAGAACCAGCGATCTAGCAGAGACCAAGCTGCTGAACCACGGTTTAGCGGCTAAAGGAGAGGACGAGGAAGGCCGACCCTGTGCGGGCGCAGGCGGAGTTCAGGGGCTCTGCTCTCTCCCTCCTCTGCCCCGCCCCATCCCGGCCGAGTCGCCGAACCGCAAACGCAGTCGGCTGACGCCGCGCGGCGGGGTCACGTGACTGGGCGGGGCGCCAGCGCGCAGGCGCAGATCTTGGGTGGCTGGGTCAGCTGACCCCAGGGGACAATCGGGCTGATTTAGGCCGCTTGCCTGGGCCTCACGGTCGCCGCCGCCATGGCCAGTCAGTCGCAGGGCATCCAGCAGCTCCTGCAGGCCGAGAAGCGGGCCGCCGAGAAGGTGTCCGAGGCTCGCAAACGTGAGTTTGGGGACTGTGGCGGCCGAGCTTGGCGCGAGTGCAGAGAACGCGGCTAGGCCGCGGGAGGTAGTGGGTGGCCGAGGCCCGAAAAACTCCTGGGTGGGGCGAGGGTTACAGATGTTGCAACCTGTGTGTTTCGAAGTTTTCAGGAACCGAAGCTCCGGCAGGATTGTAGGTCGAGTGGAAGAGGCGTTGCGGGGTATTCGATCGGGGGTGGGGACAATAATGGGTGGGTCTCCTTTGTGGTGTGTCTGGAGGCTCGTAAAATGGAGTCTTGAGACCGAACTCGTTCTGGCCCCCGCCCAATTCCTCTTTGGGTTGCCTTGTCTCAGGGAAAGGAGCTAAATCTACACCATTGCTTCGTTTGAAACGTACAGACCTCCTTGCCACTTTTCTCTCCCTCCTTAGCCACGTTTAGTCAGTGGCCAAGGTTTATGTATGTTCACTTTTCTCCATCTGTACTGCCAGCATCATAATTCAGGAAACCAAGTTCTCTGAGGTACCTAGACCAGGCTAGTTTGTCAGTTCCCCTCCACCACAACCCTAAAATTGAGGCCAGTATGTTGCAAGTACAGTCTCCGTACAACTGTGGTCTCCATCTTCAGGGTATTAAAGTTCCTGTGAAGGAAGCAGATACTGGATAGATAGGTTAAGGGGAGAGCTGGTGTTGAGAAATGTTAGGCTGGTAAAGGATTTAACAGGTGGCTTAATCTAGATTGCTGAAAGGAAGGCAGCCACCTCCTCCTGTCCAGTCCATTCTCCTTCAGTCATGCTTCTGAAGTGTAAATATGACTTCCCATTGACTTTCTGCCAATAAACGTTTAGTGCCTGAAGAATAAAGCCCGAATTCCTTCATGAAGTGTCGTTTTTTGTTTTGCTTTCTGCCCTGATCTCACAAGTACTGTCTTTCAGACATAACGAAACCATTGTGATTCCTCAAAGGCACCTTTCTTGATATCACATGCAAGGTTTGCATATTTGTTTTCTCTGATTGGAAGAGCCTTTTCCCAGTTTTCTCTCTTTGTTTTCTCTTAATCCTTCAAATGTCAAAATTTAGGCATTCGTTTTTCCAGGAAGCCTACTCTGATATGACCTCCTTCAGAGTAGGCTAGGAGTCCTTCCCAAGTGCTTATTTCTGTCATGGCAGTGCAGTAATTATTTCTTTATATGGTTCAGTCACTAGACTAAGCTGGAGGACAGGGACTAGTCAAATTTATGTATTTAGTTTCCTATCTAGTGAGATGTGTCTATCCCTGTTTTATAGATGGGGAAAACATGGCTGGAGTGAAATGATTTGACCATGGCATAGCTGCCCTTAAAGGCGTCCTTTCCCTTGCAAGACTGAAATACCAAGATATATTCATTTTAGTCATTCCTTGGTGTTTTCTCTTAGTATGAGACTTAGACTTTTATCCCCCATCCAAATAGATTTCAAGCATGACTTCTGTACTTTACAGTTAGGAGTTGTATGAGACACTGTATTTCATAGGAAAAGTTTTTTTTCTTTTTGAAGATTTATTTATTTATGCCTACAAGAACTGGGGTAGAAACTTAGAAGTCATCCTGGAAACACCCTATCAAACATATATTGAGAAATAGTCTGTGAGGAACAGAGAACTGGGGTACATGCCAGAGGGGCAGGGAGTGAGAGGATTCACCAAAGACAGAGTGGAGAACGTATCAGGTGGACTAACTGAAATACACTGCTGAGGAGAGCAGTGGGCGACACAGGAGAGGTCTGCTGCACCATGTGGGTAATTCCCTGGCTGGGGATCGAACTCGTGCTGCAGTGGTTGGAAATAGCTTCATAGTGCTGCGACTTAACCCCTTGCACCACCATGAGGGATTAGTGCAGTGATGAAGGCCCCAGGGAGCTGGGGGAGCTTCTATTCTTGCTGTGGTGACTGGAAAGTTCTCTGTTCCTTACAGACTATTTCTCAATATGTCCTTGATAGGGTATTTCCAGGATGACTTCTGAGTTTGTCCTGTGATGGCTGGCTCATTAGTAACAGAAGTTGTATCTGTTGGAAAGCATGTGAGACTATTTGGGCTAGCACCGGAACAAGTACCTGGAATATAGTAAGAATAATTGGGTGCCTCGGAGATAGGGGTCATTTTTTGTTCCTTTCTTTATCCTGTGAATCCTGGTGCAGGGTCTTATGTGTCTCAGGCAGCTATTACACATCTACTGAGTGAATTTGTTTTAAAAGAGTGAGTTTATGATTTTATATGCATTTCAGAATTTGCAGTCATTAGGAACAGAAGTGTTGAGAAGGGCTACAATTTGGAAAAAATGATTGCCTTTCTTGAGCTATGATTATGGTTGACTTGCCCATGAAGTAGTCAAATGTGCTAGCTCATATTTTTCATAAATCACTATTTGGGACTATAAAAATAAAATACTTATGTTATGGATTTCATTGGCATGAAAGAGACTACTGGATCCCATGTAAGATCCATGGGAGGGGCCTCCCCCGTGGCGCAGCGGTTGAGCGCTGGGTTGCGAAGCTGCCTGCAGCCTCTGTAGCGCCGGTTCGATCACCGGCTGCTCCCCGGCCACCGGAGGAGGGTCCCGCATGGCGCGCAGACCTCTCCTGCCACCCGCTGCCTCCCTCAGCAGTGTACTTCGGTCCTTCTGCCTGCTCTGCTCCCTGCTCTGGCTCTGGTGAATTCTCTCACCTTCCCGCGCTTCTGACTATACCCAGTGCTTGTATAAATAAATAAATAAATCTTTAAAAAAAAAAAATGAAAAAATGTTAAAAAAAAAAAGATCCATGGGAAATAAGGTTCAAAAGAAATATGATTTCCTGTTCAAATATTTTTGATTTTTAGAAAAGCCTGCAAAAATTGAACTTCGAAGATGGTGACTGGCAGGCAGAGAAGGGAATTATCTCAAATAATTGAGGAAGCTGTGGGAGTTGGGACTGAGCAGGAGAGTGATATTGTGAAATTATGTGTAGCTATGGCATAATGTTCTAGCCAGAAATGTTAGTTGTAAATTGTTGCTTTGAAAAAGATATTTGGCCTTGAAACAGGAATATAGCTGATGTGGATAGCATATGGAGGGTTGGGGTAGAGGTTGTGGACAGCAGTAGGCCCTAAATTTACTGGAGCAAATATGCACCTGCAGAAATAGTCCATGGGATGTTGTGTGTGTGTTATGGAGTCATGATGCATCCAAAAATCCTGTTATTAATCAAGAGGTAGAAGATTAAATTCAACTTCATCCACATGGGTTGAGTAGGTACTGGGAAAGGAATATACAATGAAGTGTAACAAAACTTGTATTTGCACGATGTATTTTGCTCTGAAGTAAACAAATGCTTAGACTGATCATGTAGGACCTCCTGAAAACTTTGGTTGGTGAGGAGAGAATTAAAGCAAAGCATATGTGTTGGTTGGTCTTGTGGTCTGTTTCCATATAGACTTTGATAGAACCGAGAGGATTTTTCCTGCTCTATGTTAAACTTACAAAAATCAGAATATCTTGGGCCTCTGGTGGCACAGTTAAAGTCTCAGCGCTATCAAGCTATAGTTAGTCGCTGAGGCATGAGTTCAGTCCCCAGCCAGGGAGCTACCCACATGGTGCAGCACACCTCTCCAGTCTCGTGCACTATTCCCCTCAGCAGTGTATTTCAGTAGATCCACCTGTTCTGCTCCCCACTGTGTCTCTGGTGAATCCTGTCACCCCTGCACCTCTGGTCTACACCCCAATTCTTGTATGGATAAATAAATAAAAATAAATCTTTTTTTAAAAAATCAGAGTTTCAGTGTCTTCTCACTTTTTGAATGCTTGTGCCTCCTCACTGTCCAGTGCTCCCTATTCAGATTTCTGTCAGTGCAGTACTTTCATTTCTTATTTCCTTGTGAACAGGCATGGATGGTTTTTTAGTTTCTAATACATCACTCGTGTTACATTTAGGGTGAGGTCCCTTGGGTACATATTAGCTTCTAAACTGAGCTGCGCTTGCAATCAGCAGCATACTTAGGTGTTTACTTCTTGGGAAGAGGAAGCGTTCCCCAGATGGCTAATGTCATCCATTTTGTGCTGGTTCTAAGTAATTGAGATTGAGAGAATATTCTGACATATTCCAGTTTTTTTCCATCACTTTATACAGTCTATGGAGTGTTGGGTTCCCCCCCCCCCCCCCCCCAGTTATTTCCTAGTGAATTAGTTAAGTACAACCTGTAGGAGGCAAGATTATACTATTAGGTAGCTGAATTCCCGCTTTCCCATGCATGTCTCTTGGGATTGTATCTTAAAACTTTTTTCGGTGTTTACTGTTAGAATTTACCGTCTCAGTATCTGCTTCCTCTTCTACTTGTGTTTTAACCACTTCCTGATACAGCTCTTTGATTTGAAAACAGGAAAGAACCGGAGGCTGAAGCAGGCCAAAGAAGAAGCTCAGGCCGAGATTGAACAGTATCGCCTGCAGAGGGAGAAGGAATTCAAGGCCAAGGAAGCTGCGGTGGGCCCGGTTTATTCTCATTGCTGCCTTAATTTCCCTCTTCTCTTCCTCCCTTCATGCTTTCACTATATCCAGCATAGCTTGGAGATTCTCATTCTGACCAAATTTTGAAGAGTTGGTTATTGTATGTTTTATTGGAGTCTTAGGGTGATCCATTTTTTAACATTGAGTACTGGTTGTCACATGGTTGTTTAACAAACGTTTATTTAATGGTTAACATGTATCAGGGCCTCTGCTCTCAGGGCTGGAGGACTAGCTGTCCACAGAAATGAACATGGTTCCTGCCCTCATGGAGCTTACTTATTTTACCATGCGGTGGGGGACTTAGTAATAAAAAGGAAGTCTTGCAAACTTGCACCTATGAAAAAGACTGTGATGGTCACAAACATACATCACAGGGAGCCCTGCTGTAGTATAGTATAGACACTTACTGATAGTCCAGGTAAGACTACAATGCTTATGATGCAATGGTATAGAAATATAGAGAATGCAAAGGAATCAGGTAAAATTCCGGGAAGGGGAAAGTGTGGAGGGGGCTTCGTAGAGAAATTTGTCAGGGCTCTTTGATAGTGGGAACAGAAAACAGTTTAAACTAGTTCAAGCAAGATGGCATTTCTTGGCCTGAATATAATAAAAACCCAAGTGGAAGGCTATCTTTCTTTCAATCCAGGAGCTTAAATAAAGCCGCCAGGACTCTGGTTTACACTCTGGCCTCCACTGGTTCCACACTCATATCCTCCCAGGTCCATGCCCCAATCTGAGCAGTACATAGCAAAAGTTTCATTTACCTTTGCACTGGGCAGTGACAAGGCTGTTAAAATGTTTCTCTGACTTGAACTGGTGCAGGAAATTGTCAGCCTGCCCACACACTGTGTGATAACTCTTGTGTCCAGGGAGCCATCTCATCTCCCTATTTTATATCTGCGCTGCAGTTGCTTATAGAGACAGTGTTGAATTATAAATTTCCACTCTTGCGTTTTTCTGGCTGTATTCCATTTTAGCATCTTCAGATTTGCAGCAGCTTACTGGAGCTTGGTATATAATTTGTTTTCATGAAATAGAGGTAGTAGGTTTTTTTATCCCCCTGAATAGGGGTTATGGCTATTAAAAATAGGAGTTAACAACTGAGCCAACTATTCTGAAATGTCCTGGGATATTCTATACTATGAAGAGTTACACCATAGTATGAAGAATTCTGAGTTTAAATTCAGAAAACTTGGGTTTGAGGTTTTGCAATTCAAAAAACTTGAATTTAAATTTTCATTCTGACATGAGCTCTTTGAGCTTCCTTATCTCTGAAAAGGGGTGTAATAGCTCATAGGTTGTGGGGAACAGGTAATGTGAGAGAATGTTTTGTAAACTGTAACATGTTACACAAATAAGAAGGGATCTAGTTGTCAACATACATAAATGTATATAAAATAAGGAAAGAGCAAGTTAGGTGATATAAAGGGTTATACGCACAAAAGTAATGTCCTCAGGAATAGGTCAGGTACTATTAAGTAGACACCGCAGTTAACAAAAAGCCAACCATAATATGCAGACTATAGAAGGTAAAATTCACCTGTTAGCGTGTTAAACTGTGAATGGAGACTGAAGGGATAAGCCAAGCATACAATAAGAAATTCTAACAACGAGAGGTTAGTTTCCCTCTCACCCAGACCTGCAAATCCGTGCCAGCGATGGATACTGCCTACAGTTTTTGGGTATCGTGATAGAATATTTGTATGTGAGAGAACAGATTATAATTATCTATAATAATGGTAAATCTTCTTTACCATTATCTATAAAATGGTAAATATTCTGCTGAACTTAAGTGCTGAAACATTAACTAGTAATGATGAAACTATATTCCTCATAAATTGCATCCTTCTTGTGTTTTAATTTTTTAAGACACTCTATCTCTCCCTTTTATAATCATATATGGAAACATGTGTCTCACCACATTGATATCATTATGTGCCTTGCTTTTTCCCCCTTAAACTGCCTATTTCTCTATACATAGCTGCGTTAGCTTTCCTGATGGCTGGAATGTTCTCTGGTACAGATCTACCATAATTTCTTTAACAACCAGTCCTCAGTCCTTAGGTCTTTAGGGTCATTCCAACCTTTGATTAAGGCTATGTGTTAGACTCTAGAGAGAGGTCATTATATTACTTCCCTGGGACAATCTCCTTGCTGTGAAGGACTGTACACTTAACCTGTTGATACTGTTGTAAGGTTCGCTGCGTTGGTGCATGTTCTCATTAATTCTGCAAGATGCTGACTTCCCATGTGCTTTTCATTCATGAAGTTGTACTGCTAGTGCTGCTGATTAATATTCTTTGCTAAGACCAGCTTTTGCCACAAATAAAGTTGCCTACTTAATGTTCCTGGCTGACATTCCCTGTCATTGCTTCCTGACTCCAGGCTCTGGGATCCCATGGCAGTTGCAGCACTGAAGTGGAGAAGGAGACCCAGGAGAAGATGACCATCCTCCAGGCCTACTTCCAGCAAAACAGGGATGAAGTTCTAGATAACCTTTTGGCCTTTGTCTGTGATATCAAGCCAGAAATCCATCAAAACTATCGCATAAATGGATAAGGGAGAAGAAAGAAGTGCCTGTTCCATGGATTGGCATTTTAGATGCCATTTTAGATCCTGGAATATGAAGCTCTAGCAAGGCTTGAGTTATATTCTTCTGTAAAGGCATTAAATTATTTCCATATATTATATAGTCGGTCCCTTCACTTTTTGAGGAACAGCAAATCTAGCTTCTTTGTACAGATTTAGAGCTTATCCAAAGATTTCATCTTTTTACCTCATATTTTTTAGAAATTTGATGGATAGGCATTGTCTGTTTTCCTATGCTATTAACTCAAGCAACATATATATCAAAACTGACTTTTTCTTTCTTAGATGTAGTTAAAAAGAAGTTTTGTTATTTTTTTTTAAAGAAAGAAAGGGATTAAATATTATTTTCCCTAATGCTTTCTTGAAGGTCAGGGGCTTTATCTATGAAAAAGTAGTAAATAGTTATTTGTAACCTGTGTGAAGCAGCACCAAGCCTTACCGTAGTCCTTTCTGGCTAAGGCTTAGAACAGTGAATAACTAGTATAATTGTTTTATCTGCTTTTAGTTTCTCTTAATCAAAATTACTAGAAGATAGAATTCAAGAACTTGTTACATGTTATTACTTGGTGTACTCAGTCATTTAAAAGTAAAGACTCTTTGTCATGTGTTTTTCCCCTTGTGATTTGTATTTTTTGATACTGCAAAGTGCACTTTTATCATACATTCTGCAGTTTCACTGAGGAAATGAAATTAACACATGAATCACACATTCGCTCATGTACTTAGAAAATATTTGTGGTGTGTGTCTTAGGAAGGAAATCACAAGTGATTGTACCCAAAAACTGTTTTGAAAATAGCAGGCAACAGTTAAGTTTGCCTTTCTCTAGGGTACCTTATGCTGGGGCAGCCTTGTGTGAGTTGTCAAGCATATTTCCTTCCTGGTGGGCTACATGATATGCTTTATACCTATAATGGCTTCATACTAACACTTAAGAGTTAGATGTCCATGACCTTGTGACTGCAGAATAATTTCTGATTGAGTTGAATGAGAACATGATGTGATTTTCTTGCTTGTTCTGAAACAGTATGAGAGAATCAGATAGTCTTTTAAAAAGTCCTGTATTTTATTACTCCAAGTGGGTTGATCTCGGGCCACTGCTGTTCCTTTTTATAGTAGAAATCCTCATAAGAGTTTTCTATGCAGGTTTGCTTTTTTTTTAAACTGGTGAGACACTCTAATCAGGCTTGCCACTCCTTTGGAACTACTTATGAAGGTCACCAGTGATGTCTGCTCTCTATTTGACCTTCAGTGCCATTTGACAGGGTAGATTATTTCTTTTTGCACCATTTTCGTGGCTCCATCCTGCAGTGGTATGCTATCTTGCCTCTCAGTTGTTGGGTGATTTCTTCTCCCAAGCATTTGTTCTTTTATGTCTTACATGCATTCCCTTGGTAAGACCATGTACACTTCATGGCTTGAAATACAGTCTATATTAGGGGCCTCCCCGGTGGCACAAGGGATTAAGTCTCAGCACTATGAAGCCACTGCAGCACGAGTTTGATCCCTGGACAGGGAGCTACCCACATGGCACAGCAGATCTCTCTGTCTCTCCCGCTGCTCCCCTCAGCAGTGTATTTCAGTCAGTCTGCCTGTTGTTTCCCAGCTCTGTCTCTGGTGAATCCTCTCACCCCCACACCTCTGGCCTGTACCCCAGTTCTTGTATTTATAAATAAATCTTAAACTGTATTAAAGGTTCAAATTTATATCTCCATCTTACTCTCTCCTGAAATCTAGAGTTTTCATATTGCTGATTTGATAGTTTGATAATGGGTATGCAGTAAACATCTCCATCTTATGTTCCAAACAATACCTAGTTTTGTTAGGGCTTCACTTCTAGCCTTTGCTGCAAATACAGATTTCCCAAGTGAGGACCACGAAGAAGCAATTTTGGATTCACTGGTCTAGCCCTGGTATTTGATCTGATTGCCACCGATATTTTCACTCTGGATTAACAGGTTTGTACTTGTTTATATGATTGCTTGATTCTTCCTGGCCAAGCAGCTGAGTATTGCGTAAGCCATAGAAACAACAGGGAAGTATTTCAAAAGGAGTGTGACGTAGGGCCCGTGGAGAGGACGAGATTTGAGAAGCTTGGTCTTCCGGGAGAGAGGCACCTAAGTGGTTTGAAGAGTGAACTGAATGTGAAGTGGATGAATGGGAAACCTCTGGCTGAGAAGGGGTGAGCGAGTGGTGGCCGATGCAGGGGATGGTTTAAAGGAAATGATAGCAGGTTTAAATGCTGGTGGGAAAGGGGATAAGAGAGACTGGACAATGTCTTCAGTGTGGATGCCATCCCTAAGGAATCTGGGAGCCGTGAAATCCAGGGCACAGGCAGAAGAATTTACTTGGCAGTTCTCAACCTTCAAGTCTATTTCTGAGGCCGGGACTAGGATTTTTAAAAATCTTTGGGAATTCTAAAGGGAGGGACTTCCACTATGGCCTAACATGAGAAACCCTTGAGTGGATTTTGACCCCTAAAGCAGATACATTGTTGCAGATTTCTTTCCATTTGAGCATAAAGAAGGACTTGTACGTGACTGTACTATATGCAGAGTGTATTTGGGAGAGAGAAAAAACGTGGTAAGAAGTAGAAGTGAACATCTGGGCCTCAATGGGAGGGTTTTTTTCATCTGCTGGAGAGATGTTTAACCGTGTCCCTGGTCTCTTCCTGCTCACTGTGCCAGCAGTATCTCACCAGATATGACCACCAAAAATGTCTCCAGAAGCTCTCCCTGGGGACTCAAACCACCCACAGTTGAGAATCACTACTCTACAGCAAAGATTGAATTTTAAAAAATAAAGCACCACACATGATGCTTGGGACATTCTGGCAGCTTGGCAATTTTTTCCTAATTTTCTGAAAGTTGTCCTTTTCTCATCCTAATCATCCTTGATTATAAGTCTAATAATCACTGTATTGGTCTGGATAGGATAGGCTCTGAAATCTGGGTGTCACACAGCGAAAGGTTGTTTACTTTTTTTTCTTTAGATTTATTTATACATACAAGAACTGGGGTACATGCCAGAGGTATAGGGGGTGAGAGGATTCACCAGAGACAGTGGGGAACAGCTAGGCAGGTTGACCGAAGTACACTACTGAGGGGAGCAGCGGGCGGGTCAGGAGAGGTCTGCTGCCCCTTGTGGGTAGCTCCCTGGCCGGGGATCGAACTGGTGCTGCAGTGGCTGCGGATAGCTACATAGGCTGTGTCTCAACCCTTTGCGCCACCAGGGAGGCCCCAAAGGGTTGTTTTTCACAGATCATGCAGGGATCACTTCCATTTCATGGCTCTGCCTTCTCATCACATGGTTTCCCCGTTTGCAGAGGCAAGGAAAGAAAAAGTGAGCAAATGTGCACCAGCTCTTAGATGCTGAGATGGCTCGTGACACTCATTCTCAGCATAGTCCTGTGGGCCAACTTAACTGTAAGGCAGGTGAAGTAGGGGAGCCCACCAGTATTTGGTGAGTAAAAAACACCTGTGCTACCATTGCCATCCATGCCACTTCGTGTTTTAAGGACTTTTGCGTTTATATTAACTAATCCTCATTGCAACTCTATTTCAGGGGTTATGAACTTAATGGATCAGCCCCATGTGTAGTGGTAGAGCCAAGATGTGGATCAACTGTCTGGCTCAGCATCTGGCTAAACCACTGTATGTGCAGTACTGGCCTTTGGCTGTACACCTGTGACCTGTCCCACCCATGCGACTCTGTCTCCCAAATCCTGGAGTGACTGCTCTGGGCAATTTCATGTCCTGTGCACCCACTGTCTGGAGGGAAGAATGCCCCTACTACCAGCACATTTGGTGCCATAGCTCACTGGAAGGCAGAAAACTGAGCCGGACCCTGTGTGTAACATACAAGTTCCCTAAGAGTTACCACTTGCGCTTGTGGGTGGAAAAAAAATCCCCTGAAGTTCCAAAACATGAAGTAGCTTGGCAGAGGCCACACACTGAATCTCCATGTTTCTAGCAGACAGGCCTGCTATGTGCCAGGTACTTTATGTGCACAAACCAGAGCCCTGCAGATGAGGCATGTGATCCACTTTCAGAGATGGGAAAGCTGAGTCCCAGAGAGGCTCCAAGACTTCAAGGTCTGAGAGCAAGGAAGGGACACAAAGAATGGGGCAGTGCAAAGATTGCAAGGGCAGCTGAGCTGTGCCCTGCCTCCAGGCTTTTTCTGAGGACTCTGAAGGAACTCACTACTCAGAGCACCTTCCCCTCTGCTCCCACCACTCCCTGTAAAACTCCAGAGCCCACAACTAATATTCTGCATCTTCTGGCACTTTTGGTCAGAAGTCAGTGAAAGCCTATAGCAGGTAGGAAGGACATGCTTTGATGGGTCTTGCCTGCCCCTTGTTTTCCACCTTTATTTTGTTCTCCTTCAGGGACAGTCTTCTTCAGGGACAGTTCTCCTTCAGGGACAGATATCAGAGTGTTTCTCCTGATCTCACATCACTTCAGTGACTCTGAAATTATTGGAAAAGCTTTTGCAAGGGCAGACAATGCAAGTTTTGCTTCTCTTCCCTCCCCCCTTCTCTCTACAGGCAGGCAGGTCCTAAGAGGTTTTAAAGTCACAGCGTTAATTAGGGGGACAAAGCCTGCATTTGAACCTGGGGCTGACTGACTCCAGCCTGAACTGCTGTGATTCAGTTCAACGTGTTCAGGCCATGACAACGTTTCAAGCAGGGGAAGCACGTAATTGATTGAAAGATTTGCCCAGGGGCTTGGGGAGAGGCAATGGTATGCTGCGATCCTTGACACATTTGGCCTTTACAACATCTATGTCTCTGGCTTAAACCTTTCTAATGACAGAGTAGTTCCCGGGTCAATGTGCATTCAAGGGGATATAGCTCACTGAGTTTGGGGTGATGATTTAAAGGGATGAGTGGGCCTGGAGGTCAGGGGACAGGCAACCCTTTATTTTTCTACTTGACAAGACTATTTACAAAAGGAAGAATGGCAGCATTCCGGAGCAGGTGACGATGGTTAAAGGTAAGACAAGGAGAGAAGTGGTTCAGAGAGCATGACTGGGTTGTCTCTCTGAAGAGGTTTTTTTTTAAAAGAGACTGGACAGGGCCTCCCCTGTGGCACAGTGGGTTGAGCGCAGCGCTGTGAAGCTGTCTGCAGCCTCTGCAGTGCTGGTTCGATTCCCGGCCTGCCCGGGGAGAAACCCACAAGGCTCGGCAGACCACTCCTGCCTTTCCTGCTGCTCCGCTCAGCAGTGTTTTCAGTCCGTCTGCCTGTTCTGTTCCCTGCTCTGTCTCTGATGAATCCTCTCACCCTCCCGCACTTCTGGCCTGTACCCCAGTTCTCATATAAATAAATCTTTAAAAAAAAAAAAAGACTGGACAGTCAAACGTTTGATTGCTTTCAATTACATACTGTTCCCTTCTCTCCCCAACCAGGTATGAATCTCCCTCTTCTGACCTGCCCCATTTTATCCCCATCGTACCTGTCTATGGCACCTGTCATTCTTTACCCAGATCGAAACAGATCCCTGAACCCAAGGTAGACTGTGAGGCTTCCTGACAGGAATTCAGAGCATTTCTGGTTTTGACCCAGTTTCCTAACAAACAGCACATGACTTATCTTGTTCCCTATGTGCTCCTGACACGGTCAGCTGTGTCTTTTGTCTCAAGCTTGTTCTTCTGTATTGGGCGATATGACTTCCAGGAGTTGAAATTGATGGAACATTTAGCAATGGAACATTCTATGGCCCATGCTTTGGAAAATAAATTCAAAAATAGCTCAAATTTAGTAACATCAACTTCGCAGCCAGGAGCAATTCAAGGTGTTTTATATGCAAAAGCTAATTCTGCTACCTCTTTCTAAAGTATTATAATTCCCATTTACGAATGAGGAAACTGACACACAGAGATTAAAGTCACTTGCCCAATATCACAGGGTTAATTAGTGGCAAAGCCTGGACTTGAACCTGGATCTCTCTGACTTTCAGGCTGAACTGTTGCAAGATTTAGTTCAATTCTTCAGGTCATAGCAATGTTTCGAGCCTCTAAAAGTTTCTCAAAGCTTAGAGGGTTTCTAAAAGCTTACAATTGGCAGACCTGTTCCAAAAAACAAGATCTTTTCATACACTCTTCAGTGGTCCTGGAGGGACTGCCCATGGACTGCCAGACTAGAAGACTCATATGAAGTTTCTCCCCTTTCATGTCCTACAGGATGCCAGATAGTGCTGGCAGCTCACCCCAGCCACGGGTTGGTAAATCCCTTGCAAACACAGCTGGACATGGTGCAACTGCTGAGTAAGTGTGATTTGCTTGGGATTTGTGGTTATTGAGATTTTATGTAGCCGAAGCCCTGATTTCATTAATACCCACTCATTCACCATTTCAGAGGCATTTAACAATTAGTGGGGAATGGGGTGCTGGGGGACTTGCTAGGAGCATGAGCAGCAACAGTCCTAAAGGTTTATTCTCTTTGGGACAGCCAACAATGACCCTACCGTGGGAGAGGTATAGTTGTAGGTTAAACAAGTGGAACTATGAGAACGGGGAATTGGCCTAGGCTCAGGGCAGGAAAGAATTCCCAGAAGAAGGACCCTTTCAGCTGAGATCTGGGTGGGGATGATCTTCCTTCCAGGTGAAGGGGAATGGCAACCACAGAGAACTGGAAGTGAGAGAGACCATGAGTTATAGGGGGGAACTGAGAGAAGTTCTATGTTCTTAGACTTGGGGTTTTTAAGGGTTGAGGGAGAGTGGGTGAAGGTGAGTAAGGGTAGGCTGGGGGTGGGGAGGATTTTGGGCCCACCACCTAAAACCTTGTGAATCCATCCAGATCACTGCCGAAGTCTGCTTTCCAGACTTTTCTAGAATTTTACTAAGTAGTACTCATCTTCTGAATTTTATTCACCTTTCTCCCTTCTACACAGACTCTACTCCCTCATGCCACAGTGCCAGGCTTTGGCATGTGCTGAAGTTTCAAAGATGCAAAAGGCACACATCTTGCTACCCAAGAATGAAAGTCACTTTTACCAGCACTTTCCTCCTAGCAGTTCATCACCCCATTTACTTCTTAGGGTCTCTCACTTTAGCAGGTACTGTTATCCTTTTTCTACAAATGAAGGGTGAATGGTGGGGCTGAGTCAGCCAGTTCCAAAGGCCTGTGTCTTCTATGTCACCCCAGGAAAGGAGACTGATGTGTCATGCTGGAGTGACTGGCAGTGATAGTGCAGAGTGAAGGCAGCCTGGCAGAAGGGCAGGAGTAGGATAACTTATTTCATGGAGGAGATAGGCCTTGTTGGATTTCTAGACACGATGGCCAGGCCACCATCAAGGGATTCCTTTCAACATCCTATCAACAGTTTGTAAAGCTCCAACATCCCGTGTGTCTCTGGCTCATATGCCCCCACATGTTTTTTGGAAATTAGGCAACTAAATGGGGATCTTGTGTGTCCCGCTTCAGTACAGCCCAGTAAGATGCCGGGCACTTAACAGTACCCAGTGTCCATCTGTTGATGAATAAACGAATGAACCTCATTGTTAACAGTGGAAGCTGAGATCTTGGCTGGCCTGGCGCCTGGGCGGTGTCTGCTGTCCAGTTCCTCAATCACTGCTGCCTCCCACCAGCCTTCCTTCCGCCTCTGTATCTGGCGGAGCACGAATTCAGTTAAGCCTTGTGGTCTGAGAGGTTCCCAGAAATTTGGCAATATCTGTTGAAATTAAAAATGCACCACATTCTGACTCAGCAAGTCCAGTTGGAGAAACACAGGCAGCCGCAGGCAGGCAGCACCGTGGCTCTGACCAGCCCAGCAAGCCTGTGAGCAAAGTAGGAACCCCCTACTTTTCCAACAGAGGGAAGGGGCAGAGGAAAGAAAGCTCCTTCCTATGTGTGGAGGTTGATGCACCCCTAAAAAGAAACAAGCCAGATCCTAGAGTTCAGGCTTGAGGTGAATGCCAAGGGACTCTGTTGAATGAAAAAGCAGAGCAGCATGGGCTCCCTTTCCACGAACACACACGTGAGCGCACGTGCCCCACACGGACAGGTCAGTATTTCCCGCGGGAGCTGCACAGACTTCTCACTGTGTACCCCTCGGAACCCCGGGGTGACGCCGGCTGGGGTGGCAAACAGAATCTAGTGGGATGTCGGGGTATGTTACGTGTCTGGGAGCTGCGAACACTTGACACAGATCATCTCATTAAAGCTTACACAACCCCATGAACTAGTTGTAATGATCTGTTGTTTTGTAACAGAAAACTAAGGTGCAGAGAGGTTAAATAATTGACCGAAGACGACAGTAAAAGTGGAGGGTCGTGACTGCGAGCGAGCGCCGGGAGTCTGACCCCCACGCCTATGCGCTTACGCCGCAACACAAAGCCCTTGTAATTTTTCATGCAGAAAAACCCCCTTGGGAAATCTCTGATCCCAAATGTTGCCTCATCCCCGGGTCCCATGACTGCCGGACGAGGGCTGGACCTCCGGGGTACGCTCGCTCAGATGACCCGGAGCCCGAGGCCAAGAGGGGGGCGGGAACTCGTCCGCGGCCGGCCGGGGCGCGGGGGCCGCGCGCCCCAGCATCTATGCACGTGGTCGGGGAGGCGGGGGCGCTGCCCGGCGTCCCAGGAGGGCGCCGGGATGACGAAAGGCGGTTCCCAGCTGGGCTCCGACGCGGCCCGGGAGGCGGCTTTCCGCTGGGCCCCGAGGCGAGCCGGGCGGCGGCTCCTCCAGGTGGGGTGACCGCGCGGGGCGCCCGGACGGGGAGCGCGGCGCGCGGCGGCGGCGCAGAGGGCGGGTGGCGCCCCCGACTTTGCGCGTCCGGGGCGGCGGCGGGGACGCGGCGGTGAGTGTGCCCGGTGAGTGTGCCCGGTGAGTGTGCGCGGTGCGGGTGCGCGCCCGGGTGTCCGCGCGCGGGCCGGGGCGGCCGTGAGCCGGGGCTCGAGGCGCGCGGATCCCGCGCTGCGCAGCCGCCTGGGCCCCTCGGCGTCTGCCTGGGCCTGGGGTGGGCGCCGCGGGCCGCGTCCTGGCTCCTCGGTGCGCCGTGGGCCCCCTTCCCTGCGGGTTGTGCGTGGAGCTGTTCTTGAGGGCTCCCTTAAGCCGGAGACCCGGACAAGGGGTGATTTTGGGGGTGGGGTGAGGGAACCCCCAAGCAGCAGACCCTAGCGGAGGACTTGAGCACGGAGCTAGCTTAGGGCAAAACACAGGGCTCAGGCAAGGGTAGAGGGGCCATCCCGGCTGAGCCCGCTTCTGTTCTGGGTCAGTCCTGGACTGACTTCTCGACCTTGAAGAGTTCACTTTCGTTTCTGGGTCTTAATTTCCTCATCTGTGAAGTGGAGAGCTTGGATCCATTATCTTTCAAGGGGTTTCTACCCCAAAACTTATGTGATAGGCCGCCCCCCCTTAGGACCTCTTGTTGGGACTTTCCAGCTTAACAAAAGTAAAAGTTGGCTTGTGAAAACTGTGGGATCTGCGCCCCACCGCATCCCTGGTCCCTCCAGGCCGTGAGTGAGGCCCACGGTTCCTAGGAAAACTGGGTACTCAGAGTCTGCAGAAATGGAGACTTTTGCCATCAGTTCTTAAAGACTACTTCTTCTGCAGGGCTGGGAACTCTGCTAAAAAAAGAGGAATAACTGGAAGGCCTGCTTAAAATGTAGAATCAGCGAAGGGAACCAGGGAAACTCAGAGAAGCTGGCAGATGACTGGTGAGTTACAGGAGGCTTGGGGCTGTGCTCACTCCCTAGCTCCGGCTCCACCCGGTGTCATCACTCCTGCTGCCCCCCTACGACTGGGGCAGGGCTGATGGGCACGGGAAGGGCTGGCAGGTAGTGAGTGGGTCAGCCACCCTCCTTGGTCAGTCTTGCTAACACTGCTCTGCCCTTTGCAGCCTCCAGGTTGGGGGAGGGGCTTGCAGTGAGGTCAGAGATGACCCTATTGGGTCCATCCTGGCTTCTGCCTGTACCTCTCTCCCTAGTTGGCAGGCCTTCAGTCACTTCCACCTTTGCCACGCCAGGTGGAGCCTCCTTTCCTGCTGCAGAAAGCCTCCTGAAGAGCCCTCCTCCACCCCTAGGTACTGTCCTCCCCCTCTGACTACCTTCTTTCATCAGTGTCTGTTTCCATCAGTTTACCTTTTCCACCAGGTGTGGATCCCCACCAGGCAGAACTGAACAAGAACTTAAAGCTTTATTTCTGGTTTTACACGTTTTTAGGGAATGTCTGTGGACATTAATGTCTCTTTAAGCCTCATAACAACAAGGGTAACAATAAAGGTACCCTTATTACATCCATTTTCCTGTATAGAAACTGAGGCAGAGAGCAGAAATTTGCTCCAGGTCACCCTGGTGGGAAGTGCCTGGACCGTGCAGTTTATTTATTATAGTGAATAATATATTCACTATTATTATTATTTTCTCACTACCATCCATTATATGCCCTTGATCCTTTCTCCCTCCTTTCTCTCTCTTAACCTCAGAAACCTCACTCCTTTTATTAATGTCTGATAGTTTTTATAAGTATTTTACTTTGTGGAATCATCTGCTATGTAAATGTTTAATATTTGTCTTTGTTATTCTCACTTGCCTTACACATAGTATGATCTTGAACTCAATCCATTTGGCTGTCAATGGCAGCATTTCTCTTTCCTGATGATGGAGTAGTATTCCACAGTGTGGCTATGCCACACCTTCTTGACCCAATCTTCTGTGCATGGGCCAGTGCAGGTTACTTTTAGTCATGACACTAAAGAGCCCCTGGTGAATGAGTGGATTCCCCCTGACTATGGGAGGCAAATTGGGCCAACTGGGGTGAGGGACTTCTTCCCAAATTCAATGCCTAATTGTTGGATTTTGCAATTAGGAACTTCTGAGAAGTCTGGAAGTATATCTGTGCAGCTTGTGGGCCTTCCCTCCTGCCTGGAGCAGGGAGGGTGGGATCCTAGAGAGACTTTCTGAGACTCCAGTACAGCTTCTCAGGGCTACAACCTACCTAGTTTCTGGGTTCCTTGTGTGCAAAGTGGGTCTAAGGATTGCATTTGCCTTGTGGGCTTAGGACATGATCAGATGAGTCAACAAAGGGCTTTAGTGATTGTCAAGTACAGGATAGATACCCTTAGGCCTCTTACAAAGTAAGAGAAGTAAGGGCTGATATGGGCAATACTTGGACTGCCCCTGTGGGCAGTGAGCTAGTAAGGGATGTTCTCTGTCCTCCCAGTGTTTCATAACAGCGTCTTAGGTGCCCCCTGGAAGTTCTCACTTGCTCATACCTGAGGAATGGAGTCTCCCTCAATCTACTCATTTTAAAAAGTAGTTTAGGAACCAGCTCAGAAATCTGAGTCCCTAGGCTCCCGGGCATGAGAATTACCTGCTGGGTCTCTGTCCCAGATGGCTTGGGTTCACCTGCTTACTGTGCAGCTTCTGGCCACCCCATCCTATCCAGGTCACATCACATGTTTGACCTTTGGGTTTTTTCCTGTTTAATGGGACCAACCTGTGAGGGAAGGGGCCTATGTGTGAGCAGGGATGTCATGCTGGTATTTCCTTCCGCACCCCCACAGCAGCTGTGCCAGGTGGGTCTCCCTCAACCCCCTTTGTACATTTGGGCAGCAAGGCCCACCTTCACAGCGAGTTAACCTTGACAGCTGATGTCACAGAACATGTGTGACAGAGCAATGGATTCAAGCCCAGGTTCTTTGGCGCTAAAGTCCTTATTCATCTCATAACACTTTGCTAAGTTCTGGCCTTGGAGCCTGGCACAAGGCAGGTGTGTGATAATTGTTAGCAAAAGATTTGCTTTCATATGTTCTTAGTTGGAGGTGGGGATGAGGGTAGTCCCAAGTGATCTCTGGGAGCTTAAAGTCAGGACCAGCTTCAGGTGTGTGCACTTTGCTCAGTCACTCACGGCCCCCCACTTAGGAAGTTCCCCTACTTGGTACTCTGCTGTCACCATCTTAGAATACTTTATCATTTTAAAAACAAGGGGCTCCTGTCTTCACTGCACTGACCCCCCCCCAAATTATGTAACTGGCTTTTTTTTTTAATTTTAAGTGATACTGGTTTATAGGTTTCATGTGTACAGTCTTTTAAATTAAAATCTGTGTATAATACACTAAGTTCACCACTGAAGTTTAATTCTATTTTTCACCATACACTTGGCCCCTTTTATCTGATTCACCCGTCCCATTCTATCTATGAAACTGGACCACCATCTCACACAATACACAAAAGTTAATTAAAAAATGGACTGAAACAAAAGCAAAAGTAAACAAATAGGACTACATCAAACTAAAAAGTTTCTGCTAAATGAAAGAAACCATCATTAAAACAAGGTAGTCTGAAAAAATTTAAATAATAAAGGCAGTCTATTGATTGCTTAGAAATCACTATTTTGCTCTTATAGTCTAAGAGTTTGTTTTATTTAGTTCATTCCTTTGTTTTTTAAAATTATATATATATATCTCATATATGAGTGAAATAATATGGTGTTTGTCTTTCTTCATCTGACTTATTTCACTAAGCTTAATACCCTCTAGGTATATCAAATTGCAAATGGCAAAATAGTTTTCTTTTTTAATAGCTGAGTAGTATTCCATTGTGTGTATATACCATATCTTGTTTATCCAGTCATTGCCTATGGACACTTATGTTGTTTTCAATTATTATTTTTTTAAAGATTTATTTATATATGCACACAAGAGCCAGGGTATAGGCCAGAGATGGGAGGGCGGGGGTGGTGAGAGAATTCACCAGAGACAGAGTGGGGAACAGAAGAACAGGCAGACTGACTGAAATACACTGCTGAGGGGAGCAGCAGGTGAGACAGGAGAGGTCTGCTACACCATGTGGGTTGCTCCCTGGCTGGCCGGGGATCGAACTCGTGCTGCAGAGACTGCGGATTGCTTCATAGTGCGGAGCTTAACCCCTTGTGCCACCAGGAAGGCCCCTGTTTTTAATTCTTGGCTATTGTGAATAATGCTATGATGAACTTGGGGGATATGCTTTGATATGCTTTGGATAAATACCCAGAAGTGGGACAGCTGGATCATATAGATTTCTGTTCTTAATTTTTTGAGAAATTTCCATCCTGCTTTCAATAATGGCTGCACCAATTTACATTCTCACAGATAGTATATGAAGAGTCCCTTTTCTCCACTCCTTACCAACACTTGTTTCTTATCTTTTTGATACTAGCCATTCTTACAGGTGTGAGGTGATATCTCCTTGATGTTTTAATTACTTTCTCTAATAATGAGAGCTGTTAATGAACATCTTTCATGTGTCTATTGGCCAGCTGCTTTGAAGAAGTATCTAGTCAGATCCTCTGCCCATTTTTTAATTGGGTTGTTTTGTTGTTGTTTTTATTTTTAATTATTTATTTTTAAAGATTTATTTTATTTATTCATGCATATAAGAGCTGGGGTATAGGCTAGAGGTGGGGGGGGTGTTGAAAGGATTCACCAGAGACAGAGTGGGGAGCAGAACAGGTGCATTGACTGAAATACACTGTTGAGGGGAGCAACGGGTGAGCCAGGAGAGGTCTGCTGCACCACGTGGGCAGCTCCCTGGCCGAGGATGAAACTGGTGCTGCAGTGGCTGCTGAGAGTAGCTGCATAGTGCTGAGACTTAACAACCCTTGTGCCATCAGGGAGGCCCTGTCATTGTTGAGTTTTATGAGTTATTTATATACCTTAGACATTAACTCTTGTTGGGATATAAATTGCAAATATCTTCCCACACTCAGTAGACTCCCTTTATTGTTTAAATTTTTTCAGACTACCTTTTGTTTTAATAATGGTTTCTTTCATTTAGCAGAAACTTTTTAGTTTGATGTAGTCCTATTTGTTTACTTTTGCTTTTGTTTCAGTCCATTTTTTAATTAACTTTTGTGTATTGTGTGAGACGGTGGTCTAGTTTCTTTCTTTTGCATGTGGCTGCCCAGTTTTCCCAACACCATTTATTAAAGTGACTTTCTTTGCTTTATTTTATATTCCTAGCTCCTTAGCCATAAATTAGTTGTTTCTCTCTCTGTATGTAAATAGATAAATAGATAGATAGATAGAAGATAGATAGATAGACAGATATAGATATATAGGTTTATTTCTGGGTTCTTGCTTCTGTTCTATTGATCTATATGTCTGTTTTTATTTCAATGTCATGCTGATTTGATTACTGTAGATTTGTACTATAATTTGAAGTCAGGGAGCATGTATTTCTATTTTGTTTTCCTCAGCATAGTTTTTAGGTGTTTGGCATTTTTTGTATTTTCAAATACAAATACAAATACATTGAATCTGCATGTAGTTCTTGGTAAAATGGTCATTTTAACAATGTTGATTTTTCCAATCCACAAACATGGAATATCTTTGCTTTTTTTCATTTCTTCAATTTCTTTCAGTAATGTTTTACAATTTAAATTGTGCAGCTCTTTTACTTCCTTGGTTAATTTTATTCTCATGTATTTTATTCTTCTTGGTACAATTGTAAATCCGTTTGTTGCTTTAATTTCTCTTTCTGATGGTTCATTACTTATATATAGAACTGCCACCAATTTTTGAATATTGATTTTGTAGCCTGCAACTTTACTGTATTCATTATTTCTGGTATTTTTTTGTGGAGTCTTTTGAGATAATATATATTACATATTTCATATAATATATATATGGTCCTATTTAAAGTACTGAGAGAAAAGCAGTGTGGTAAAGATGTGTGAGTCAGATTTCTACACTTAGGGTGTCTGGCATCAAGCAAATGGATACCGGCTGGCCGCTTCTTATCCTCACCAGCTTGGGGAGTCCTGGCTGCCAAAGACAATTCTAGTGAACTTACCAAGATAGTTAGCAAGACTGGTGTGTCATCTCAGGATGTAGGCATGGTTTTCCTTGGCAAGGGGTAATTTTTAGGCTCAGATGGACACATAACAGATAGTGTCCAGCTGGAGCGTGAAGCACTGGAGACTCAGTTTTGGCATCAAGGAGATACTTAGGAAGAAAATTTCTGCTTTTGTTGATGAAGGTGTCTGAGAATTGTTCCTCTACGCTGTCACTAACCTGGCTCTGGAGGCTTTGGATCTCTTAGAGCTAAGTGCCAGGAAGATATTTTGTACCCCTTGTTCTTTTCCTTTTCTCCTTATGGATAGACAGGGACTATATAACTGACAGTATTTCCATTTTAGCTTTGGTCACCTGGAAACTCAAAAACAAATTCCTGGCTCAGGCACAGCAACTATGTTAAACCTCAAAACAATCACGATGAGAACTAGTATTTATGGGATGCATCCTTTGTTCCAGATGCTATTATCTGTCCTTTATATGTATTATTCTTTCAATTCTGTGCAACAGCCTTTCCTGTGGGGAAGATTTCTTTATATGAAGGGAACCACTTGCTTTTAGTTACATAACTAGTAGGTTATAGACCTGACCTTTAAGCCTGTTAGACTGACCCTGGAGTCCATGTTCTTGAACACAAACCCTCACCACCTTGCCTAGGAACCCTGACTCCCTGCATATCTGGGTATTTCGGTTCTATATGGTTGTCACTTTTTTTCCCTTGGCATTTATATTTTCTAACATCCTGATTTCTGTCATTTATATTTTGCAATGTCTTCTGGAAAGCTACTTGAGATCCCTTGTATAAATAAGGCTTCCCAAATTGAATATACCTATTTGGTGCCTGCTCACCTGCACACCTCAGTAAAGGAATGGAAATCCCAGATGCCTGGTAGTGGGGCCTGTGCAGCTCCAGAGTTCTCATGGGTGTCTGGATGTAATGAGCTGTAGAAGAACCAAGACCTCAGTCAAAGCCCTGGAGGTCCTCTTCCTCACCCCTTCTGGGAATGTTCCTTGACGTGATCGGAAAGACCAAAGTCAGCAGAAGGACTCCTGGCTCCCTCTGACCTTGTGATGACACTTTGGACTTCGAGAGCTCCAGGAACCCAGCCTACCTAGGCCTGGGCCTAAAGTACTTTCTTGTGCTGTTTACTGAAGGGAAATGAAGACGAGCTGGCTGCTCCAGAATGAAGTGCAACTTCGAGAAGGGGAAGTAGAAATCCAGCTGGCTCTTGGCTATGGCTTGTGAACCACAGATGAACCCCAGCATGTCAGCCAGCCCACTGCCCACCGCCTCTCCTGGATGGAGTGCTCTGCCGGGGGGCAGTCCTCCTGGCTGGGGACAAGGTAAATGCATGACCCTTGATCCCCCCATCTTTCCCTCACCCCCTTCTAGGATGCTGATCTGGACTTATAGTATGACTGATGGGAGGTGAGTGGAGGGCCCCAGAAATGCCTTTAGATAAGGTTGGGCATTTTGGGGAATATACTTCCAGGTCAGTTTCTGTCATCTCTAGCCATTTCTCTATGTCACCAGCTTCTTAGATCAAGCCACTGTCACCCTCTGCTTGGATCCCTGCTCTTGCTTCCTAGCTCATTTCTTCTCCTCCTTGCCTCTTTCATCCATTCCTACATGATTTCCAGAGAGATCTTTGGAAATGCACATCTGCCATGTCACTTTCTACTTCAGTGGCTCCCACTGGGCGTAGCATAAAGAGCTATCATTCACCAGCTTGTGAGGCCTCCCATGTGTCTCCTACAGTCCCTGTCATGCTGTCCTGCCTCAGGGCCTTTGCATCTGCTGTTTCTTCTGCCTGTCAGGCCTTTTCCTTTGCTTAATATCCCCGCATCTTTCAGAGCTCAGTTTGAACATCCTTCTCATGAGGAATTCTCTTTTGATGCCTCAGTTAATTCAGGGTGCTCTAATACATTCCTGCTTCTTCCCAAAGCTTATTACAGCCTATATTAAATATCACCTGTGTGATTAAGTGTTGCATGTTCAGCTTCCTTACTAGAATGTTATCTCCGGAAGGGCAGGGGCTCTGTGTTTTCTTGTTCATCCCCTTATCTCTAGTACCCAGCATGGGGCTTGGCCCATAGTCGATGCTCAGTAAGCATTTTGTTCACTGTATGAATGACTGGACATGGGCCAGGGGAGACAGCATTGGGAACTAGGGGACCCATGGAATGTGGATAATGATGATTTGAAAACAAGCGTTTCTTTAATTACTACTGTTACTAGGAAAGCAATGTATGGTGCACACTTATCCCAGTAGAATGAAATTAAGTGAAATAATTTTCCTTCAGAACTTTAAAGGCTTTGCTTCATGGGTTTTTGGCAAGTCAGTTCTTGCTCCTTAATAGGAAATTGTTCCCACCCATTCCTCCCTCTCCCCCCCTCAACCCCCTTCACCAAGCACACACAATGGCTTGGTATCAGGTCGTTTTACTGTCCTTTTTTTAGAAGATTTATTTTCATGTATACATACAAGAACTGGGGTGTAGGCCAGAAGTGCAGGGGGTGAGAGGATTCCCCAGAGACAGAGTGGGGAGCAGAACAGGGGATCTACTGAAATATACTGCTGAGGGGAGCAGTGGGTGAGACAGGAAAGTTCTGCTGCAGCATGTGGGTAGCTCCCTGGTGGTGCTGCAGTGGCTGCTGATAGCGTGATAGTGCTGACTTTAACCCCTGCACCACCGGGGAAGCCCTAGGCCGTTTTTCTTAGTCTTAGAAAAACAAGTATTTCTAAGTGGAGAACTTGCTGTTCTCACTTAAAAGAACAGATGAGAGAGATTATTGCCAAGAATCTGGCAACTCTTGGTTTGAAAGGCAAGCATAGACACTGTATGAAGTCTTCGCATTGCTCAAACCAGCACTTTTCTCAGCGTGCGGAGAGTCAGGCTAAGTGGTTCTGGTTCCGGTTCTCCAGTCCTGGGGTCCACTTCAATGTGGGCTTTCTATTGACAGCAAGTTAGAGGCCTTATCAGCTTTTCTGCCTTATCTTGTGCTGTTTTCTCTCCTGCTTCTCTGTCTTCTTTTATTTCCCCTGGTGACATGGGCAAGCAGTTAGCCTTGTAGAGCCTCTGTCTCCTTTTCCATAATAAGGGCATCCACCTTTTAGGGTCCTGGGGGCTTAAGTGAAGTCATCCTCTTGAAGCCTAAGTCCTGTGCCAGGAGCTTCAAGAAGCTGTTTCTTGTTTCATTTGCTTTTATTTCCTTTTCGGCTAGTTTTCCTCATTTGCTTATTTTTAAATTTATAGTTTTATCTTTTGGCATTTTGTTCTTATGAAACCACCTTCAATCCTTTCTGGAACAAGGTGTCAAGCAACGTTCTTCAGTGTCACTTGTGAGTACCAATCAGCTTGCTTTTAAAGTATGATGACAAGAGCCATCAGTTGTGCCAGGTACATTTTGGGCCAAGAGTTTGCGTTCATCATCTTAAAGCCCACGGCAGTGGATATGATCACCCTCTATGTGAGGAAACAAGCCGGTAGTAGGGATTCAGATGGTTTCTTCCAAGGTCACCCTATTGGAAAGGGTTCTATCCAACTCTGCTTTTCTTACCTCCCCACCCTGCCTCCATACCCCTAGGTCCTTGCCAAAAAACAGGACAGTGGAGGAAGCAAAATAAAGTACTCTTTGGTAGGGGATAGATTTCTGTGTTACTCTTTGGATTATAGGTGATGTCCCAGGGTATTGAAAGGCCCTATCAGAGACCTGAGTTTTATTGTATTAATTCACTTAGCCACTAAACATGCATCTAGTGCCTACTGTATGCCAGGCACTGAACTAAGCACAGGGAATTTAGCAATGTGCAAAACCAGTGTGGAAGTATATAATCTGATGGGGAAGATGGACTTTAATCAAGTAATTGCCTACATATGTAATCAGATCATTGTATACAAATGTACTTATCTTTATGAACATGAAGGAGAAGAGGCAGTTATGAACAGGTTTAGCAGGATTTGACCTGTTAAGGGTTCAGAGTGTCAGGGAAGACTCCCTGGGAAAGTGATTCATGGAGTAGTATACAAATAATGAGTAGAATTAGCAAGGTAAAGTGAAGTGGCAATGTTCTCAGGAGAGGAACGGCATATGCAAAGGTCCTGTGGTAGGAGAGAACACTCCATGTTCAAGGAACACAGAAGCTGGTATGGGAAGACACAGAAGGAGGCCAAGTGGCTCAAGGTGAACTTGGCAGGAAGCCATTTTTCTCAGGGCTGGGGCAACATGGTAAGGACTCTGGCTCTGGTCAGCAGAGCACTTGGAAGCTACAGAAAGTTTTATGGCAAGATTCATATCTGATTTGCTCTCTGCCCTCTGTGTGGAGACTCAGCATAGGAGAGAAGGGTAGGTTTGGAGACACTAAGGAGGCTATTGCGGGGGTACAAGCCCAGCTTTTCTGGCTGCAGGTAGGATTGTGATAAAGATGTCAAGAGGTACATGGAGTCAGGAGAGATTTTGTCCACCCAGTTGATGGGGTGCGATGGTGGGGGTGGAGAAGATGGGTGGGCCAGGAATTCCAAGGAAGGTCAAGCTGGTTATTTTTCTCTGAAGATTTAGGCGTTTCCCAGTTAGGTTCTGAGTGGAGAAGATCTTTGGGGCAGCAGGTGACATATTTATAGTAAACCCTTCAGTCATGACTGATTTTCTAAGCTATGGCCACAGAGAATATGCCAAAATATCCATTCTCCAGCCTTGCATAGCCGAACCCTGGGATTCTAGAATCTTAGGGCTCCCACCTGCTTGTCATGGTGGAAGCAGATTGAGATTGTTAGGTTCAGAGTTTGCTATGCAGAACTGAAGGTGGATTTGGCTCCATTCGGCTGCCATTCCTCCCAGACCCAAAGGCTGGCCTCTGCAGGCTGCGGTGCAGCTTCATCACAGCCGGCAGGGCTAAGGTGTTCCAGCTGTGGTGACCAGCCTGGGTTGATGGGGTGTGTTTTTTTCGGTTCCTCTGAACTAGACTTTAAAAAGTTGAATGAGTCACAGCTGTAACGCATGTCCAGGTGTTTGTTTTCTGTCTCTGTGAACAGTACCTCAAACACAGTAGCTTATAAAATGCACACATATTCTCTTATAGGTCTTTATTCTCTTGTAGGCCTGTCTGGCCACCCTTTCATCCAGTTATTCACACATATCATTAAGTGCTGACTCAGTGCTCAGTATGGTAGGGGATAGAAGAGAGTGCCCACTCTGTGCTTGGCATTTAGCTGGGCACTCAGTCCTACGGAGGAGAGCGACACGCAGGCCTGGCTGCGCTGCCTGTAGTTGGGCCTCAGTGAGGCTAGGCCATGTGGCTGGGGAAGTCTGATGCGGGCACCTGAGCTGAAGCCAGTGTTGTCAGGGCGGCGTTCCTGCAGGAGGCTTGGGCCAGAATTAGTTTCTTTTCCTTTCCTGGTGTCTCTGGCTGCCATGGGCCTGGCTTGGTCCCATGCCTCCATTTCCAAAGCTGGCAACACTCAGCTCCCCGCGCTTTCCTTCCAGTGACATCTTCCCTGACTCTTCTGCCTCCTCTTCCACTTTTCAGGACACTGTGATCACATGTGCTACCCTCCCCACCCTCCAGGATAACCTTCCTTTTTAAGGCCAGTTGATTAGCTGTCTTAATTCTCCTTTGCCTTGGAAGGTAATATTCACAAGTCTGGGGAGTAGGGCGGGGACATCTTTGGGGTTTTATTGTTATGTCTACACAGTCAGTCATCTCTTTTTTAGCCTCGGAGCCCAGTGGGAGTGCCAGTTACTCAGCTGAGCTGACTTTGCAGTCCTCGCCCACCTGATGTGGACCCCAGGCCTCTGTAAATATCTGCTGCATCATCTCCTCCATGTAGTTACCTGTTGAGTCTCTGTTTGAATATATCTTTTTTTTTAAGATTTTTAAAAAATTTATTTATACAAGAACTGGGGTACAGGCCAGATGCGAGGGACAGTGAGAGGATTCACCAGACAGAGCAGGGAGCAGAACAGGCAGACTGACGAAATACACCGCTGAGGGGAGCAGCGGGTGAGATAGGAGAGGTCTACCGCACCATGTGGGTTTCTCCCTGGCCGGCTGGGATTGAACTGGCACTGCAGAGGCTGCGGACAGCTTCACAGAGCAGCGCTCAACCACCTGCGCCACCAGGGAGGCCCTGTTTGAATATCTCTTGTGATGGGTAACTCACTACTTCCCATTCCTCATGTGCCAGCTCTCATTCTGAGGAATTTCTTCCTTGTATGGTCTTGCATTGTATACTGCGAGCTTCCATGCTATGGCTCCAGTTGTGTCTTCTGGGGACTTTTCTGTCAAGTCCAGTCCTTCTCCCCATAGGGATTTGAGGATGGCCACTGTGTCTGTCCTCGCTGTGAGGAGCTTTTTGTGGCCAGAGGAGGTGACACCATCAGACTCTGAGCCCATCCACAGTAGGTCTCGCTGCTGGTCTGCTTTCAGAGCTCCACAATGGCCAGGTCCTCACAGTCCTCCGCATCGACAACACCTGCACACCCATCTCCTTCGATCTCGGAGCAGCAGAAGAGCAACTGCAGACCTGGGGCATTCAGGTGAGTGCCGGTTTTATTGAGTTCCCTGCCATCTTTCATTCTGTCCATCAGCCCACCTGTCTATCCATCCTTTCGTCCAGTTACTCACAAAATATTTATTAAGCACTTACTCTGTACTTGATAGGATAGGGGATAAAAGGAAAATATACTAGAAATTCTCTCCAGTGAGTTCACTGAACAGATGTGGGTTCCCTTTCTGTACCTGGCACTTTGCTGGGCACTAAGTACTACAGAATCGTCTCTGTAACTGATCCTGCTGTGACAGGACCACTTAATACTACTTACACGCCGAGTGGCTTTCAAAACGTACATGTATTTTTTACTGGTCTCTATAGGGGAGAAAATGGGGGAGAGGTTCATGTGTTACATGAACCAGGGCAGCCTGGTGTTGGTGCTGTAGTGGAGGAAAGCACAAGGCATTGAAGACATTTCTAGGAGATACACTCATGCGGGCAGTGATTGTGAAAGCTGCTCAGAGGAGCGGACACTTAATCTGGGATCTTGAAGGAAAAGTAGGAGTTTGCTGGTGGGCAGAAGGCAGGGCCTGTATGCAGAGAGGGAACTGCATGTGCAGTTGAATTCCTTAGCTGAAGATGTGGTACCTGCAAACATGGTGATGTGAAGTGCAGCCTTCACAGATCCATGGATCTGGGTGCACATCTAGCTCTGCCACTCACTGCCTGTGTCACTTTGGGGAAGTGAGTCAACCTTCCTAACTCAAGTTCATTATCTGTAAACAAGGACAATATTAATCCCTGTTACGTAAGATTTTTATGAGGATTAAGTGAAATGATGCTTGAGGGGTACCTGCACCTGTCTGTGGCACATGGTAGACATGAATCAATTGTTGTTGTTGCTGTTACTAAGTACCCAGGGGTGTGGTTCTCTTTCTCTCCAAAACCCCCACATGACTAGGCCTTCCTCTGCATTGCCCAGGGAAGATTAATTGCAGATGGAAGAGACTGCAAATTTTATTCCAAGAATTTGAGAGCTTACTTCTTTGAGCACTGGTGGTGTTTATTTTTTTTTAAGGATTCATTTTATTTATTTATACATACAAGAGCTGGAGTGTAGGCCAGAGGTGTGTGTGGGGGGGAGGTGAGAGGATTCTCCAGAGTCAGAGTGAGGAGCAGAACAGGTGAATCTGCTGAAATACACTGCTGAGGGGAGCAGTGGGTGAGACACAAGAGATCTGCTGGGTCATGTGGGTCAGCTCCCTGGCTGGGGATCGAACTCGTGCTTGCAGTGGCTGGCTATAGCTTTATAGTGCTGAGACTTAACCCCTTACATCACCAGCGAGGCCCTGCAGTGGTGTTTAAAACATTTTCTCACCGTTAAAGGCATACCTTGTAGACTGACAGTGCTGACCCAGCATACCATGTCACATTGCAGCTGCTCATGTCCCCATGTTCCCTCTCATTCTTTGTACACAACATTTTTCTTAGAGAGTTGTCTTCCTGTTGTTATTTTTTTAAGTGGTAATCAGTTTACAAATTATTCTCCCATGTTCCTAAACATTATCCTTAATGGTTACAATCTATTTCCTTAGGCATTCTACCCACATGAGGACCTGATGTTCTAGAATTTTTTGGGGCAGGAAGATGCGAATTTTCAGTGCTTTGTGCTGTATTAAAAGCCATCAATCCTGCACGACTGGTAGCCGTACCTGCATATTGAGGGTTCTCTCTGGACACCCCACCCCCACTCCCAGGCTAGTGTATACATGTGGGATACAGGTGGGATAGACACACAGATCTAAGTATGACATAACTGACTGTGGTAGGCAGAACAAAGGTCCCCCAAAGATGTCCATGTGTTACACATGTCGCTGATGGGGATATGTTCTGAGGCATTAGCGATTTCTTCGGTATGCAAACTTCTTATGCAGTTGTGCAAACCTAGACGGTGGAGCCTCCCACACCTGAGGCTGTATGGTGCAGCACACTGGGACCTCCATTGTAAATGGGGTCAGGCCTTGAGCTTGACTGTATACTTACTGTAAAATGCATATATAAGCCTTGTCTTGGTTGACAGGCATAACAGGCATAACACAAGGTGAGTATTCTTATTCTCCTCATCTTACACAGGTGGAAACTGAGGCTCAGAGAAGTGGGGTACTTGTTCCAGGTCACACAGCACACGAGTGTGAACTGGCTGACTCCAGAACCTGGTGGGCCTTAGCTATTGGGCACCCCTGGTCTGCGGCGAGGTACTGAGCCTCGGGCGCGGGGTCCCTCTCCAGGGTGTCCTTCTGGATCTTCATCTCCTGGAGCTGTCCTTCCTTCTCTGAGTGAGAAGGGCATCCTGTGGTTTCTATCCAGAGCTCTGAGCTCCTCATTCCACCCTTTGGGATGGCCCAGAATGTGCCTGACCCCTCTTCCATGTGATAGTCATATGAGCTAGAAATGACATGCTTGCTGTGGAGGGAGGAGGGGTGTGCTTCTCCACGACCAAAAGATCTCTCTCGGGTGCCTGGCAGGTCCCGGCCGACCAGTACAGGAGCCTGGCTGAGAGTGCCCTCTTGGAGCCGCAAGTGAGAAGATACATCATCTACAACTCCAGGCCTATGCGGCTGGCCTTTGCTGTGGTAAGGAGGGCGATGGGCTTGCACGCTGACCGTGCTGTGTCCCACGCCACTGCTGAATGCTGTCCTGTTCTGGAGCCTGGTTGGGCATGGAGGCTCAGCCGCCTGGGGGAGAGCAGTGCACGCAGACCTGCATGAGAGGAAACTGACGGGAGAGAGTTGTAACCAGGTCCCTTAAGGGAAGGGAGCAGAACCAGGGCTCCCTACGGGCAGCGCTTGGGATCGGGAATCTGCTGGCTCACCCGGGCTCTGGACTTAGCATCTGGCCTTGGTCAATACTTTTGGAGATTCCTTAAAAGCCTAAAAGTAGAAATACCATATGATCCAGCAATGCCACACCTAGTTATTTATCCAAAGAATATGAAAACTCTAATTTGGAAAGATCTTTGTACCCCGATGTTCCCAGCAGCAGTAGTCCCAATAGCCAGGACATGGAAACAACCTAAATACCCACTGATGGAAGAGTGGATAAAGAAGTTTTAGTGTATACATGCAATGGACTACTACTCAGCTGCTAAAAAGATAAAATCATGCCTTTGCGATAATATGAATGGAACTTGAAGTGATTGCACTAAGTGAAATAAGTCAGAAAGATAAAGACAATTGCTGGATGGTTTCTCTCCTAGGTGGGATCTAAAGAACCAAAGTGAGCAAGCTAACAAAATAACCTGTAGACTGTGAAAGCTATGGTGGATACTGGAGGGGAAGGGGAGATGGGGCGGGAGGAACAGGTAGAGGGGTGGATCTGACAGTGTGAATGACACTAGGCTTTTCATGATGGGTCTGGAGAGGCACCTGCACTTACACATGATAGAGGCGAGAAGCTGTGCTGCTGGAACTTCCATAGTACTGTAAACCGGTGTAAGTGGTTTACAATAAAATTGTGTTAAAAAAAAATTGTGTTAACAAAAGACTTTTCTCTTCTCTGGGATTTGCTTTCCTCATCTGTTCAACAGAAAGTCTCACTTCTGTGTGTGTGTGTTTATACACACACATATAAACACATGCATACACTTAAACACACATAAACATACATGGCAGAGCCAGTATTTGAATTCAGGCTGTTGAGCTTCAGCATCTGTGCTTTTAATTTTAACCACTATGATTTGCTGATTCTCTGTATGTAATGGTCGAAAAACACCCTTAGCTCTCTTGTCCTGATTCTAGGGAAGGGACAGGCATGGCAGCTGGATTTATTGATCCCCTAGTAAGTCCTAGGCTGCTACACATTACCTAATTAACTCTTAAACAGCTCTGTGAAGTATGTGTTATTAGCTCCATTTTACAGATGAGAAAACTGAGGCTAGGAGGTGTTACAACTTGTCCTGTCAAAGGATCAACATAGGCTTCTGATTCAAATTTATCTCACTCCCAAGATCCTCCCTTTTCTGTTTTATTTAAAGTCAGGGTGAGCAAGGATTCAGACCAGCTCTTCTAACCTTTTCTGCCTTTCCTCCAGATCCCAGTCAGTCTCTCACAGGCCCTGTGAGCTGTAAGAAGTGCCTATGGAGTGTCCAGAGGTGTCCCTCTGGATAGAGCAGCTTTGTTCCAGGGCTGGGTTCCTGAGCAGGCTTTTTCTCTGGCTTTTTGCAGGTTTTCTATGTGGTGGTGTGGGCCAACATCTACTCCACCAGTCAGATGTTTGCCCTGGGGAACCACTGGGTGGGCGTGCTGCTCGTCACCCTGGCCGCGGTGAGCCTGACCCTGACTCTCGTGGTCATCTTCGAGAGAGAGCAGAGAAAGGTGAGGCATCTGGAGACCACACTTGCATTCCCTCCAGGCTGGCTTTGCGGGGAGATAATTCCAAGTCAGATTTTTCTCTTTTATCTGCTTCAGAGAATGAATATTCACACTGGCCCATGTGCCCAGTGACTGAAAGAAATCAAGTCATGTGTGATTAAGTCCTTTGCTGTCTAGTTCCTGCAGGCAGTTTTTCTGGAAGCAAGTTGTGTCTTGACAGAGAGTCTGAGAAGAGGGCTGAGAGGGGAAGGCACCCGTAGCCAACATTCCCAGGCACTTTGCGTCTCCTGAGCCCCTTCATGGACCTCCTCCCTACTTGGATGCTCACAACAGTCCTAGGGGGAGGGGGCTGCTTAGTTCATCTTTCAGCACAAGGTGCCTGAGGCTGGGGGTGCAGCCATTGACTGTCATGTCTCATTTAATACCAACAATAGCCTTTGAGGCAGAGAGTGAGAGGCCAGAGTTAGGGTAACTTTTCCTGGACCCCACCACGAGTAACAGAACCTGGGTTTACAGCCTGAGCCCTCTGACACCTGATCTTCACAACTAACAATGATTCGGCCTTACTTCTTAGCATACAGTCCACTAATTGATCCCTCAGCATCTGTCTGTTGTTACTTACTGAGCAATTCACGTTCATGGTTTGTCTATTAAGTGCCCTACAGATAGATGTTAACTCACCACACCCCTTGGTACATCTCTGGGTAGCAGCGCTTACCCTCATTTGACAGATGAGGAACCCCAGGCTCAGAAGGCTGAGGGCATAGCAAAGGTCATGCTGCTGATAATGGCAGAGCTGGAATTCAAGGCAAGGATGCTCAGATTCCGGGCCAGATTGTCAGCCGTATGGGTAGTCTGCGGCTGCTGTAACAAATTACCATAAACACCGTGACTTCCAAACAATACACATTTACCGTTGAACAGTTCTATAGGTTAGAAACTCCTGGAGCCTCGAGGGGACTGTCTGTTTTCTTGCCTTTTCCAGTGCCTAGAGGCCACCTGGTTCCTTGGCTTGGGGCCTTTTCCCCCGTCTTCAAAGCCAGGTATGGAGGGTGGTTCACATCTCTGATTCCCGTGGTTACATTGGGCTGCCTGGACAATCTCCCTATTTTAAGGCCAATGTATTGGTAGCGTTAATTCCATCTGCAGCCGTAATTCACCTTTGTCATGGAATGTAGCATCACAGGTTCTGGAGTGTAGAATCAGGCATCTTCAGGGGGCATTCTTCTGCTTACCATGCTGTCTCTCTCTTTCCAACAGGAAGCTGGCTGCACCTGGCATAGAGCTGGGCTTTGAGGTCTTTTGCAAACACTCTGTGCTCACCTGACTCAAGGGGAGGGCTGGATGATGGGAAATGTGGTCAGGGTTTGGAGAAGGAATTCCATTTATAGCCTGTGTTCACAGGAACAAATAGGAGCTTTATGGCTTAATCATTCTGAAAGGATCTTTGTTGGACTTTGAGATGAGGCTGACAAAATAGTGCCGCCCTTGGGCTCGGTTAAGGCTTTCATGGCCCTTGTGTTTGGCCTATAAAAAATAAATTGAGCTGGCAGCTCTTGCTGCAAGAAATTTCTCTTGGGGACGGGAAAAAGCCATGTTGTGCTGTAACAGGAGCAAGCAAGATGTCTGGACCTGGTAGGTGCTTCAAGGATAAGGATGGCATCAGTGCAGGCAGGGTGGGGGGGCCTGCTGCCTGCCCCTCTCCCATCCTCCTTGTGGGCCAGGCGTTGTGCCAGGTATTTTGGGAAGGAAGTGCCTCAGAGACAGATTAGATGTTTTACTTACACGGTGTGCTCAAACCTATCCAACCTCCCTCCCCAGTAAATGTTAGGACATCCTGTTCCCATGGTGTCCCAGCACTGGGTCAAGTGCTCATGCATAATCTCATTGAAATCTACCACAGTCCTAAGAGGCAGGAACACTTTCCATTTTTATTGTACAACTGAAGAAGGCAAAACTCAGCAGAGGGACATGACTTGTCCAGGGCCATACAGCCTGGAAGGAGCAGGGCTGGGCCCACCCAGGGCTGTCTGACATTACTGAATAGACTGTCCCAGCAACCTCACAATCCCATTTTAAAAGGGAGTAAGTGACATGTCTCAATGACAGGTATCATTCCATGTTATCAGGATGGGCAGTGTGTGGTTATTGCCTGTGGTACAAGAGCTCTCGGGCAGTGTGGGCTCTGGCCACAGGACTGGCATTTGCCTCGCAGGCCAACACCAACACAGACCTCAGGCTGGCAGCTGCCAATGGAGCCCTTCTGAGACATCGGGTGCTGCTGGGGGTGACAGACACAGTGGAAGGCTGCCAGAGCGTGATTCAGGTACGGGGTTTCAGAGAGACCTTCCCTGCAGGGCCCCCTTTGGTCTGGGCTCATGGGAAGGGCAGCCCCATGTTCTCCCAGTTGGCAAAATATCTCTCAGAGTCAGCCCTGCCCTCCTCCCTCTTTGCTCCTGTGTTTCTTCCTGGAAACACCCCTCTGGGCAGTAACCACAGCTTTGAACCTCCCTAGGGGGCAGGGCTGAAAGGAGAGCGCAACCAGCCCGCTCTGCATGTGCAGACAGGTGGGCCTCCGCTGTGCTCGAGCCCTTGGTTGGGTGCCCAGAGGCCTGGATGAGATCCCTGGAGAGGTAGGCAGACCCCAGGGGCCTTGTCCACAGCACTCAGTTGTTTCTCAGTTATGAGGTCTTAGGTGACAACGTCACACAGTGGGTCTGGGATGCTGCGAGGCCTAGCAGAAGCAGAGGCGCCAGGGCTGGACCTGCAGGTGGGATCTGGGAAGAAGCTTCTTGCATGTAAGACCTGTGTATAGCACAGATGTTTAATTGAGGATCTACTATGTGCCAAACATGTTCTAGGTGCCTAGGCTGCAGCAGAGAACATGTTGATAATTGTCTTCACGGAGGCTAGCACCCCTGAGATGGGGTAGGATGAAAGGGAATCTTGTCCCACCCCAAGGGTGAACTTGAGGGCATTGCATGACTTCTGGCAGTTCAAGTGTGACATCATCAACTGAGGGATCCTTGAATCTTGGAGCCTTTGAAATGCCTTTTGTCTCTGAGTCCTCTCTATCCATTACCACATGGCATGAGTTGAGTACACAGATGGATGGATGACTCATGAATGGATACATCTTCCAAAAACCATTGAGTTCTTTCAGTTTCCAAGTTGTCTCTTGGTTTCTTTTCTTTCTTTTTTTTTTTTTTTGGCATAGAAAGAACTGGGGTGTAGGTCAGAGATGCAGGGGATGAGAGGATTTGCCAGAGACAGAGTGGGGAGCAGATTTACTAAAATACACTGCTGAGGGGAGCAGCAGGTGAGACAGGAGAGGTCTGCTGTGCAATGTGGGTTAGCTCCCTTGTTGGGGATCAAACTCAGGCTGTGGTGGTAATAGCACTGAGACTTAATCCCTAGGCCACCAGGGAGGCCCTCCAAGTTGTCTCTTGTGAGAAGATGATGCAATATCTTGGATTGCCTTTAAAATCATTATGAATGGGGTAGGGTAGGGAATGGAGGTGTTTGAGGTGAATGATGGGTGAGGGTAGAGATAAAACAAGAAGAACAATCTCATAATAACTGTTGAACCAAGATGGTGGGTAGCTGGGAGTTAGTGATTTTCTTTGCTCTGGTTTTGTGTACATTTGGAAAATTTCATAAGAAACTTAAAAGAAATTCATTGAAAAAATTCTCCTTGGGGTCTCCCCTGGTAGCGCAGGCAATTGAGCTGGCACTGCAGACCTCTCCTGTCTCGCCCGCTGCTTCCCTCAGCAGTATATTTTGTCAGTCTGCCTGTTCTGTTCCCTGCTCTGTCTCGGGTGAATCCTCTCACCCTCCTGTGCATCTGTCCTGTATCCCGGTTCTTGTATAAATAAATAAATCTTAAAAAAAAAAAAAGAAAAAATTCCCCCTAGGGATGAGAGAGCAGTAGAGCCTAGTTGACAAGAGGTATGTGATGTTGGGTCTTGATGGTCAGTCACTGGGAGGAGGGAGGTCTGGTGTCCAGAGGTAGCAGTCAGTGGATGGAGGGAGGCCATCAGGGTCCTGCAGAACCTGAGTTGTGATGTGTGGAGGGCCCTACACGGTGCTGGAATGTGTGAGCATGGCTAAACTTGCCTGATAAACTTCACTGACCCTTTGGGGACTGTTGTTAGTGAGGCAGATGGGAATAAACTATTCCCTGCTCCTCCCAGCACCCAAAGTAATGAACTCTGACCTGACATGGACAGTGAGAATGACAGCTCTGAGGGGTTCACTCAGTTGCATGTTGGGTTCCAGTCAAGGGCATCCCAGTCCCTGAGGATGAAGGCAGTACCCCAGATGGATGCATGAAGTACAATAGGATTTGGAGTCCATTTTGAACAGGGTTTGATATTCTCTAAATTTGCACACAACATCATTTTCTACCAATCGGTCATACAATGGAGACTTAGTTCTGCGTGGGCACTCTGGGAGAGAGCGTTCCTGACGGACCACAATAAATCTGGTTGTGCTCAGAATGGCGGGGCTCCAGCAGGAAGGCAGGACAGGGCTGAGGGCTTCCAGGCATGGAGAGTTCAAGGTGGGGCTGGCTCAGGCTTCTTCTCTCCTCAGCTCTGGTTTGTCTACTTCGACCTGGAGAACTGTGTGCAGTATTTGTCTGACCATGTTCAAGAAATGAAGACCAGCCAAGAGGTGAGATACCTTAAATGAAAACACAAAATTAACAAAATAAACCAGGAGGCCAAATTGTATAGATTACATCACCTCTACTTTGGAAAAATGTCTAAGAAGTTACACGGAATTAGGGATTAGGGATTATTTTTGCCTAGGGAATTATGACTCTTTTTCTCCTATGCATTTTCTACTGGCCATATATTTATCTATAATAACAATGATAGTAATAATAAAGATCCCGAGTGAGGAAATTATCATGTAGTTAGATAATATCTAATATCTCTTTTTTTTAAAAGATTTATTTTATTTTATTTATACGAGCACTGGGTACAGTCAGAAGCACAGGAGGGTGAGAGGATTCACCAGAGCCAGAGCGGGGAGCAGAACAGGCAGACTGACGAAGTACACTGCTGAGGGGAGCAGTGGGTGGCAGGAGAGGTCTGCGCGCCATGTGGGACCCTCGCCCAGCAGCTGGGGATTGAATGGGCGCTGCAAAGGCTGCGGGCAGCTTTGCAACCCAGTGCTCAACCGCTGTGCCACCGGGGAGGCCCTGATAATATCTCTTATTCAAAATGTCTTTCTATTACTTATGAAGGTAAGAGAGCTCTTGACCTGGTTCTACAGATGAGGAAACTGAGGTTCTCAGAAGTTCTATTGCTGCTAATGGTGCCGGTTGGTGATCCCCAAGCCATAGGATCAGCCTTTTCCTGGTTCCCCGGAAGGGCTTTATTGGGTCTTAAAGTCAGTATTCTAGTTTAGCCCTGAACCTGGTCTGTTAGTTCCTGTGTGGCTTTGGCCAAGGCCTCTGAGCTTCAGTTTGCTCATTTGCAATGTGTGGGTGAAGACACCCACATTTCAAACTGCTTTAAGAGCAAATGAGAGCAAGAAGGGAAAAAGTGCTCAAGAAGCTACTCGAAGGTCCATACTTCTGGTGGGAAATCTTCTGATCTCACCTAGGTAGCTCAGTTGCAGATTCTCCTGAGGTCAGCATCCAACTCTAGATGGATCTGTGTAACTTTTGTGGATTGCAGCTCACAGAGCCACTTGGCCTCCCTGACATGTCCCAGCTTAGGGCACCACCGAGCCCCCTCTCTGTTGTTTGTTTTGCAGTCCTTGCTGAGAAGTAGATTGAGCCAGATATGTGTTGTCATGGAGACTGGAGTGGACCCCATAACAACAGTGGAGGGGCCTGAGAACCTGGTGGAGGAAGCACCTCTCCTGCCCAGGAGTCCACATCCCAGGGAGAGGCCACTCTTGCAGACTGAGCTTCGCCAGCTCATTCCTGAGGCCGAGCCAGAGGTAACAGACACTTCAGCCAGTCAAGACCACTCTCCTGTTTAGAGTATTTGTGGAGCGTATGTGTGAGTGCTTTAAGTTCTAGATTTCTGAGAACATGGTTCTATTGAGATGGTAGGAACCTTCTTCTAGCCTACTTGTTTTTAATGTATTTTTCCCTCATCCTAATATTGAAAAACAATTATAGATTCTTTTTATACTTATTGGGTCCCCCAACCCCAATTTTTGATATCTAGAATATTCTATTTGGTAGTTTGATAGATGCGTGTGGGTGGATTATAGCCTACCTAGTGGGTGGATTATAGCCTACCTAGCCATGAACATGTTGATGAATATGTGGGTCACTTTCAATCTATCAATCTGTTATCTACCCATCTAGCCACTTAAATGGCAGTGGGATATTTAAATCTCATGTAAGTCTCTGTGGGGTTCTAGTTTCTGTGGCCCCAGAGTTCTGCTGGTTATGGGCAAAGGCTGGTATTCCAGAAAGCTGATAATGCGGTTTGCAGCTGTGTTACACTATTCTTACCACGAGGGAAGAGCCACTGTCTGGGAGACATGCACTTAAATCTTTTGTTTTCAGCCAATATATATGGGAACTAAGGACACAATCAGTCCAGACTCTCCCTTTTGCACTGGTGGGGTGTAGGGAGCCTGGAAGCAGGACTATTAAAAGAGCAGATGATAAATATATTAATGTCTTCATTTGAATCTCACTGACTTTTCTTTTAAATAGCAGAAGAGATTGATAAGGTCACATACTTTATTGTGGCATGGATGTCTGCGTTTATGTGAAACAGCCCATTAAATATGATGGGTCTTTTAAATTATTTTTTCAAATTCATTCAAACCAATAGTAATACAATTTCCTGCTATGAATATCAAGTTTCAGTGTATGTGCACATGTTTTTTTAAAGAAGCTGTGCTTGTAACTTAGCTGGGGAAAATACAAGAAGTACCATGAGCCAGACCATCCTATTTCAGTTGGAGCCCAGTGTCTGTGAAAGTCAGAGTAATGATTATGATGACCTCTTATATTTTAACAGATTTTTAATCATGCATAAAATTCCATAGCCTACCTTCTGAGCTATGGGTTATTTCCTCTTCTTCCTTGATCAGTGAAATGAGGTTCCAAGATTAGCTGACTTGCCCAAGGTCACAGAACAAGGGAGAAAGCAGCAAAGTCAAGGACAAAAGCCACCCTAATGATTCTAACTAGGCAAATTTTCTTGCTTCTTATGCTATTGATTTTAGAGCAATGGACAAGAAGCCCTGTCTTAGTGAGTAGTAGACTGAAGTTTTCAGTATTTTCTAGCACAAAGGACAACTCAAAACAAGCACTGATCCTATAGAATGAGGTAGGGTGTCTGCTTTGTTGAATGATGATGAACCTTTATTGAACCCTAGGTCCTGGATTACCTGTCCATTGCTTCCTTTAATTCTCACTCCAGCTCAACTGGATAGATGCTATGATCTCCCCTTGTACTGAGGAGGAAAAGAGCCCAGCAAGGTGAACTGGCCTGCTCAGGGTCAGCCACATAGTGGCTGAGCTGAAATTCCCACCTGGCCCTTCTTAATGCCTGTTCTTAATAATGGACTCTGCTGACACCAACAGCTTGGATGTCACCCTACATTGTGTTTTGTTACATTCAGACTGGACACATGTGTTATGGAGGACCTCACTGCACACTACAGAATGGAGGAATTTTCCCTCTAATTCCAACTGCCAGACCCAAATATGAAACTTTAGACACTAATTGTTTTAGATTTTGCATTAAATCCAATTAAATTTTATTTTTACCTTTTCACTTTTTTCATTGCAATAAGATATACATTTACCACCATGACCAATTTTTAGAGTATAATTCAGTAACATTAAGTGTTTTTTTAATTTTTGTATAGACATTACCTTCTATCTTCAGAACTTTTTCATTTTCCCAAAACCAAAACTCCACTTCCATTAAACACAAACTTCCCCTTTCCCATCCCCTAGCCCCTGGAAAGCACCATTCTACTGTTTTTTTTTTTTTAACTCAGATTTTGCACTTTATTTTACTTTTAAATTCTACTATAAAATATTTTTTTTAAAGATTTATTTTTATTTATTTATGCATACAAGAGTTGGGGTCTAGGCCAGAGGTGTGGGGGTGCGTGGTAAGAGCATTCACCTGAGACAGAGTGGGGAGCAGAATAGCCGGATCTACTGAAATACTGTGTTGAGGGGAGCAGCGGGCAAGACAGGAGAGGTCTGCTGTGCCATGTGGGTCAGCTGCCTGGGATCGAACTCATGCCGCTTGATAGCACTGAGACTTAACCCCTGCGCCACCAGGGAGGCCCTACTATGAAATATTGAGCATAGGTAGATGCCAGTCTGACATTCAGATTTTTGGTAAGGCAATTTTGTGGTGCCACTGGAAATCGAACCCTGTGCATGTAAGGCAGATTGTACCAATATACTTTGTGTCTCAATGAATTTACTACCCTAGGTGCCTCATATAAGTGAAATCATTTCAGTATTTGTCTTTTTGTGATAAGTCCAATTTTTATAAACAAACTCACATTCGGAAAACTTACCTAAAGAAACCATCAGGTACTTACATATGTTGAAAACTTGCCTCCATTCTAGTGATTTTCTTCAAGTATATTATCTTGATCTCATGTGATCTCTAGAATCACAGACATTTGAAAGTAGAAATAGTGTGTGTGTACATGTGTTTGGCTGGCAGAAGCTGGTGGGAATTTTTCTGGTGTGTTGCGGCCCTGCAACTCTTTTGCTCATGTTGTTAGCAGCTATCAGCAGTTAGGTTTCCCACCGTGGGAACAGGAAAAGGAAGCTGCAGGAGCCCCAGGGCAAACATCTTCCAAGAGCACCAGGCAAGACCTGGCTCCAGGGTCTTCCTGGAGACAATCACTGCTGGTCCAAGGTTGTGAGGACTCATAGACTTCCCCTCAGGCAGTATGCATGCCTCTGTGACCCTCACTCTACTACCCTGCTCTTTCAGGAAATGGCCCAGCAGCTGTTGGCAGTGTTTGGTGGCTACTACACCCGGCTCCTGGTGACCTCCCAGCTCCCCCAGTCTGCGGGTACACGGCACACAGACTCTCCGAGGGTTCCCTGCCCCTGTCAACTCATAGAAGCCCACATCCTGGGTCCAGGGTGCTGCCCGTTCCTGGTCAGGTGACCTAGGGACTAAGGTCCTCCTCTTCCTCTGAGACTGAAGGTGAGACATGGGGAGGCCTCAGGAGCCTTAGGTGGCTGGTGCCAGCCCTGCTGAGAAGAGAAGCCTCTGGGGCACTCCGCAAGGTGTCAGCATAGGGGTGTTGTGCAACCCCCGGATTCTGCACAGAAAAGCTGTGGGCACCGCACCCTGACTGCAGGCCTTTTCAGAAAGTGCTGGTGACCCTGCTGGACCCACTTCAAGCTCCTCTCTGTTCTGCTTTGAACCATGGGCAGGATGATGGAAGAGCCTCTCTCCGGTCCCTTCATGTTTGGAGAGCCCAAGAAATGTGAAGGCAACCAGACTGGGCCAAACTGGTGTCCACGACTTGGTCTCTGGCGATGCTCCCATTCCCATCATGTCAGATGGAGAAACTGAGGCTCCCAGGGGACACAGCACTTTGTGGTATTGCTTTGAGCCTCAGACGGCCTGTCCCCAACTGGAAGAAAGGAAGCAAATTCTCAGAATTTCTTCATTTTTAAGCTTTTCTTCCTATTTGATGATGAATGGAGGCTTCTGTACTTGTTTAATCTGCAATCCTGCAAGCTCCAGGAGACAGAAACAAGAAACAAATGGCAGATGACTACCATTAGAGGGTTGGGAGAAGACTGGTCCTGTCTGATTTTACTCATTTAGAGGCATGTGTGCTTGTGATTGTGGTTTTATCCTTCAAATGTAGAGCCATCCTCCTGTTGTCTGACATGAACTCTATCCAAGATTGAAGCCTAATCTGTACCTTGTGATTTCCATCACAAGCTCAGAGGTTTCTAGGTTCTTTGCTCCTAAATCTGTTTAAGGACCCATCTCACTCTTCTATTGGTCCAAGTCCAACAGCCCTGCTCTGGCATGTAGTCTCCCCAACTCCCAAGACCTGGCCTGCATCTGTAATTTTGGCTTCATCGCCTACAGAACTCCTTCATAAATTGAAATGTTCCTGGACTTTGTTGGACTCCTATGCATGCTTCAAAGCCCAGAATTACTTGCTCCCCCTCCAGGAAATTATTAGTAACTATCCCTGCTATGCTCTGTTTTTTTTAAATTCCTGGAGTAGCTGCTGCCTTTACTGATATTTTTTGTTATTAATTCTATTTTCCTGTCCACATGCCAATTTTTCTAGTAGATTATAAGCTCCTCAAGGATGCAGAATATGCCTTCTGGTTTTTGTGCATGACTTGGATCGGCCATGTGGATTGATTACTTTGTTATCCCCATAGTAGCTTTTACAAATTATTCTCCATACTCACTTGTATAAGGTTGGCTCATAACTGGGTTCTTCTGATCTGCCACTTCTAACTATATGACTTTGGCTGGTCCTCAGTTTACCCATCTATATACTTGGGTAGATTGTATAGATTATGGGTGATTCTTAATGGCCCTTCCAAAGTTATGGAAATTTCTAGCTTTTTATGTACCATTCTGTCCACTGGCCTATCTTTCTGTTATGCCTTCTTCTACATGTAGGAAGGTCCTAGGGCCCCACGCTCTGAAATGTTCCACACTAGATACACCTTGGATGGAAGGTGCATCCAAGGTGCATAGAACACTTGGATGGAACACTAGCCTAGTAGCAGGATACCTGGGTTTTCATTTCCTATCTGCTGCTTCCTAGATGTGTGACCTTGGCTAGGTTACTTAACCTCTCTGAATATCAGTTCACTCCCTTATAAAATGGATCTGGGGAACATAAAACATAGGAATATGAGTGACTTGTCATGTAAGAGAGGAGTCAAACTATTTGCTCTCTCTGGACCAGAAGAGAAATCACATGTGTAGACCAGCCCTTGAAATGGCCGTTTAAAACATTTCTCTTTTGTCAGTTCTGAGGGTGGATTTGCTCAATGAGAATTATTCATGAAGACAGTCACTGTCTTACTTCTTTGCCACAGAGGAAATGAGGGCTATGAGTGTAGATGTGCACATTTATCATCCAACCATAACGCCCTGGGAAGTATAACAGTGGAATAAAGATGTGTGTGTAAAATAACAAAGCGGCAGGTTCTCAATTTTAAGGTTTACTTAAGAGCCTTGATGTATTCTTTCCTGCCTTTTCCTCTCTAGATTTTCTGATCGTCTCCCCAGCTGGTGAGGCAGTCAGTGTGCGCCCACCAGGTATATTTTTTGGTACCTGTGCCTCAGTTTCCTCATTTATGACCTTGGCCTTGTCTGTTTGAGAATCAGTTTCTACCCCAGATTTTCAGGGTTAATGACAGAATTGGTGACAGGGAGATGGCCCTGGGTCCCAAGATGGGAGTGAAAGAAGTAGCTTAGTTTGTTTTCTGGGGCCACATTTATTCAAATCCAGGGTCCACCTAGGAGCAGCGTCCTTCCACCCTTTGGGTCTCACTCCTCACCTGTGGAATGGGGTATAAGAGTGCCTACCAGGCAGGTTATTGTGAAGATGCAATGATATCAAAACTATAAAATGCTTGCTACAGAATGTGAGGGGCTTGAGTTTCAAGCTGGAAGAAGAGCTCAATAAATGGTTGCTATTTTTTTAAAAAATCTCACCGTGTCTTGTATCTAGTGGGTACTCGGCATATGTCGTTGTAGTACGTCGTTAACAGTCAATGTTTATTCAGTCTGCACCAGACCTCACTTAGTCCAGCAGCACAGGGCATATGTACGAGAGTAAAGATTCCCATCAAGTCTCTCTGAAATTTAGTACTGGAAGACAGTCTCACCAGCAAGGGAAGAGCAAGCTGGTAACCTTGGGCCCAATGCTCACCCTCTCTGTTCCTCTTGTACCTCCATTTCCTTGTCTGTTAAGAAGGGGTGGTGATACTAACAGGGATTAACTATGGTGATACATGCAAAGCCCCAGGCTTGGGCCATAGTTCGGTCAAGGGAGGGCGCCACCGGTCACAGCTTTTCCTCCCCAGAGGCTTTCTGTCTGTGTCTGCTAGTCTAAGTTTTGACTTACATTGATCAAATGCATATCCCTGGAATTTTCTAACTGATGAGATCAACTATGATGTCTTTTCTTAGGCTCATGAGGCTTCTTTGGGACCTCCCCTATGAACGGGGGCTGGTTGCCAGGAGAACAAGCCATGTGATCAGAGGGTTGGCATGTTTAGTTCCTGCACTGTCAAGTTCACTCACTTTACAGGAGATGCCAGTTCTGATTGTTCCACTTTCACGGGAAGTGTGACAGGGGAGGGGAAAAGAAGGAGGAAAGGACTTGCCCTGTGATGCAACCAAAGACTTTAATTGGCGGCAGCTCCTTCCACGGTGACTTTCAGGAGCTGGAGTGACTTGCTGGAGGCACAGGGATGGCTCAGACATCTTCTCCTCCTGGGGGGAGTTTCCGAATCAGTCCTCATGGCTTGGGCTCACCGCCCTACCCTCCTAGTGCCACGCTGGCAGCTGTGCAGCCTCAGACACGTGCGTGAGGGCTGCCCCTAGAAGGCTCAGGGCCTCCCATGAGGGCAGGCCTTCATCGCCCAATTGGGAGAGTGCTGTAGCTGTCTCTTCTTAAAAAAATATGTGCGAAAATCTCTGTTCAAATCTGAAAGAGTGAGGAAAATATTTATCCTGGGCATAGGTTTTGAGTTACACATAAATAAAATCTTGGTCATATCCCACTCAGGGATTGTTCACATCATAATGGCTTTGAAAAAAAAAAATTCTGCTTGCTTGGGTTAAACAATTGAGATGTGAGGATCTACATGTTACTTCAGCACAGCTTAGCTGATCCTGATTAATGTCCTTATAATTACCATGTGTTGAGGGCCTTCTTCCTTGGAACCATATTCTAGCTACTTACATATGTTGCCTCATTTCATCCTTTTAACAACCTGAAAAGCAGGTAGTGTCTTATTATCCTCATCTTGCACAGAAGGCTGCTGAGTTTCAGAGAAATTGGTTCAGTGACCAACTCAAGCCCAATAAGTGGCTTATTAATTGGTAAGAAGGATGAAAGCCAGTGAATTTGGTATCTCATATCTAATTCTATTAACTAATAGATAACAGGCTGTATTATAAGTTTCACTCCCAAAAGCTGATAGAAATCTGAGGGGTACCCTCAGACAGAGGTCCAGAGAAATACTCAAGTATTCTTGCCAATTACCACACACTCACATCTGGAACCTACTCAAAGACCGTGGATGACGCTCTGGACATGCTCTCGGTTCTTGGGAGTAAGAAGAGATCGTAGATGACCCATTGCTGTCCTTGCAGCAGCAACAACAGAGGATCTTTGACGCCATGTTTTGGTTGCTGTGGGAAGAGGAAAGGGCACTGGGCATCTGGCAGTCCCAACCCCAGGAGCCCATTATTGTTTAAGCAGTGGGTCACACTGGGCCAGCCTCTCTGCGGGTATCACACCCCTCCCCTCTCTCAAGCCTCTGTAGTTCTCTGAAGACAGGAGATAAGGTCCACCTACTTGGGCCTACCTGTCCTTCTTTTTCTGTCCAAATTTCTCTTACCCATGGAAATGTGCCTCCACTCTGCCAGTGTTTACCTGTAGGGATACCTTGCTGAGTCAGCAGGTCTTGGAGTCTGCCACAGCTCTCCGGGAAGGAGTGTTTGCTAAATGGATGTTAGACTGTGACTAGTCCCTTTTCTGCTGGGAAAGTGCTCGTCCCTTTTCTGCTGGGTCCTTGGCAGTAGAACCCTAGTACACTCAGCAGCAGCCACAGATAAGCCCGTGTTTAGAAGTCAGATTTTCCTTCTGCTTCTCAGGCATGGTCTCGGGCTAATTGTGCAATCTCTTTGAACCTCACTTTTCTATCTGGATGATGGGAATGGTAGCAGCCCCCTTTTAGAAGATGAACTACACAAAATGATTAACTACATAAAGTGATGGCAGTGCCCAAAAGGGCTGGCCCAATCCTCACTCTCCTTTCCTTTACCTTCATGTAGCTTGGTGGTTCCAGTGCATTCCCACGGGGCCAGGTCCCAAGGGAACATGGTAATGCAGCTCAGCCTGGCTGCTTCAGGCCATTCCTATTTAAATACCCCTCCTCCACTGTATTCTTCTTGTGTTATGTTCTAGCACATACTGAAATTTGCTTTCATGTGTAAATTCTGTATTTCCTCTGGTGAACCACACAACTCAGGGAGTCAGTCTCCTTGGCTGTCTGCTGCATGCCCAGTGCAGGGCATAGAGTGAGCAGATAATACATGCTGTGGAATCATTGGGTGAGCCTGTAACTTTGGTTAAACAGACGGTGTCACCAAGGGATGAGGAATCGTTTTTGTTCCAGGAACATCACAGGTGGACGCTGCTCTCCTCCTCAGTGCCCAGCCCACTGATGGCTTTAAGGATGACTGGTAGGTTTGCTTTTGACCACTCCTTCCCCACCCTGTCCAATCAAACCTATTTCTCCTCCCATTTCCCTATTTTTGGGTCAGAGCCCACTGTTTATGTCTGGAGTCAGAGATCGGATGTCTGGAGTCAGAGATCGGAACCCTCTGCTCATCCTGCTCCCTGCCTCCTCCTTCATTCAATCGTTTATCAAGGCATTTTGATTCTGTATCATAAATATTCTGTGTTTTCTGCCACCCTCTTTCCCACTGCCCTTACTGAAGTTGGGGGGCAGAGGTTTAACTGGATGGCAAAGGTAGGGAGGAGGGAAGGCTCTGCTGATCCCCTCTCTAGTCTGATTCCCTCGGTCCATAAAGCCACGCTGTCTTCCATGTCTATCAGGTTGGCTGTGGTGCCCACCTCAGGCATCTCTTACCCTTCTTGGAATAGTAGGTCCACTGGGGCATGTTCTTCTCATGGATTCTAGAAGCAGGAGAGAGCAAACCCACTGAGGTCACACTTCTAAGCCCGGACTGGTGCCCCTTCTGCTAGATTTCCATTGGTCAAAGCAATGGACTTTTTTAGAGACAGAGCCCAAGTAGGCGGAATGTCCACTCCAAGAAGATAGGGCAAAGAAGGGTGAAGAAAAGGCCAATATATTGCTCTGACACCAGTTTATATCATTACCATACCCACTTTACAGATGGAGAAACTGAGGCACAGAACATTGTTTTGCTCTCAGCATAGGTGACACAGTTAGTATTGGCAGAATGAGGATGTTGCTGAGACTGGAGCATTTTCAACATTTGGGCTGATGCTGTCAGATTGTTTAACTATTGACATACACCGATTTAGTTTCTTTTCTGCTAGAAGGGGGATGCTGGTGTACTCCCTGCTGCTGTCACCTCTCCTTCCTGTTAGTTCCCCAAAAAGGAATCTAATCATGAACAAATTGAAGGGCATCCTGTATGACAGTTGTGTCCTCAGAAACGTGAAGCTTAGGAAAATAAAGACAAACTGTCCCAGATTAAGAGAGACTAAAGCTATATGCCAGCTACATGGAATTCATGATCTTGGATGAGATCCTAGACCAGGCAAAAAAAAAAAAAAAAAAAAATCAGTGTAAGATATTTTGGGGGAAATTGATGAAATTTGAGTGGCATTATATTAATGCAGAATTTCTTGCTTTTGGAAACTGTGCCTTAGTTACGTAACAGTATCCCGGTTCTAGGAAATTCACACTGAAATATTTAGGGGCAAAGGGACAGGGTCACCCAACCCATACTCAGATGGTTAGAAGAGAGAAATCGGGAGCGAGAGGAAAGCAGTGGTGAAGCAGGTGGAGGAGAGAGCAACAATTGGTGCGTCTGGGTAATAAAATGTCAATAGGAGCCCTTTGTACTATTCTAGCAAATTTTCTGTAAGTTTGACATTAGTTCAAAATTAAAAATAAAGCTATACAAAAGATTAAAAATAATGTTTTGGGTTAGCTGGTTGGGTCAATATATTTAAAAGCGTCCAGACATTGTCCCCAAGAAATTCTCCTTGGTAAGGCCCTGGGGGAAAAAAGGAGAGACAGGTGCTGAGATGTCAGCAAAGAGTTTAATTGGCAGCAGCTCCTCCCACGGTGAATTTTTCAGGAGCTGGAGTGACTTGCTGGCACAGGGATGGCTCAGACATCTTCTCCTCCTGGGGGGAGTTTCCGAATCAGTCCTCATGGCCCCGGGCTCACTGCCCTACCCTCCTAGTGCCATGCCGGCAGCTGTGCAGCCTTGGACTCGTGTGTGGGGCCGGGCTTAGAAGGCTCAGGGCCTCCCAATGAGGCACCGCTGGTATGGCCAGTGTTCCTGGGAATATCGGTTTAGGTTTCTCTTGTAAAAACGTCTTTCTGAATTGTGAGTCTTCAGAGCTGAAGGAAGAAGAGAAATGTGCTGGATTGGGGGATCTGCTTGGACCAGGATGGACAGTCCTGCTTTTGTCCCTGCCTCCTGGATCCCAGCCTGAGCTGCCTGAGTCCTTTGTAACAGGGAGAAGTTTCTGTAAGTAAGTTCTGCATTGGTAATCTATTGGGGCAGTTAGTGGCCTGGGAAGTAGAATTTGATCCATCCGGGTTCTGACTCTAACTCATGGGCTGGTAGACTTTTAGAAAGTCCCTTCCCTGTGGGCCTCAGCCTTCTCTGTACAAAGAGATGTGGACTTTAAACTATGTTCTGTGGAGTCCCTTGGGGTGAGGAGGGGAAAGGAAGAGGGTGGGTGAGTTAACAGGGCTCCCAACCTCCACCCTCCATTTAAGTACAGCAGGACCCCTTAGATCTTTTAGTCAGAATTTGTATGCAATTTTGATTGCAGGGAGGGTTTAACTTGAGGGAGAATTCTAAAATCACTGAGCGGGGTGATCCTTAATTTTCGACAGCTGGCCTCAGGCGTGGTTGGCAGCTGTGTGAAATCATCCAGGCTCAGCACTGGTGCCCAGCATTGCAGCTGCATTTCTTTCTGATCTGTGCCACTGGCCTGCATTGGGCTTCCATCTTTCTCTGGCCCATTCCAACCCAAATGGACTCCATGGGGTCACAAGTACTTCCTGGCATTGTTCAGGGTGTATACCTGGCTGGGTTCAGGGCAACAACAGAGAACAAAGCTGATGGGGATTCTGCCCTCCTGTAATTTACTGTCTAGTGGCTGAAGCTGATTTAGTGAAACAATCACACAAAATACACATGTAAGACTGTGCCCCAGGGCTCAGAAGGAAAGTTTGGATGTGTGTTCTGTCCTCCCAGACCTGTTGCTGGGAAGCTCATGCGGATGGGTCTTAGACCCCTGCACTCTCCAGTGTGCTCTAGGATAAGACTGCACCTCCCCAGAGGGCGTGTTTCTGTCTCTCCTGTCACCCCGCTTAGCTCAGCTCGAATATCAGTGGGGTTTGGTTGTCAGGATGAGGCTCCCTCCCCTGGGGGTTGCTGGTCCACGTTGGTGTCCCAGTTTGGGACTCACGCTCAAACTCGTAGCTGCTGCTGAAGGAGTCCTCTTCTGCATAGATTATGGGTTTTCCTGTGTTGGCGAGCTTGGGATTCTGTCTGCCGCGTTCATTCTTCTGAAGCTGCAAACCTGGCAATGATAATTCCATTCATGTGGGGAGGCTGGGAGGAGATGGTGGAAGTGAAGGTATCTTGCCAACTCAGGCAGTGTGTACAGGCAGAGGGGGGGTGGTGATGGTGGTTATGGGGTGGGGAGTCCCTGGCCTCTCCATTGTTAAGTGATACAGCACTGTATTCTATGTTCGCTCTTTTTTTATTGATTCTTTTTAAACCATGAGGTTTGCTTTGTACTGTTTATAAATGTACTGCATAGCTGTTACAGAAAAGCTAGGAAATAGGGAAGAATAGGAGAGAGGGGAAAATGGCCCAAGCATTCCTCCCTTCGATATTATCCCGGTTCCATACTTTTCCTATGAATATTTTTACACAGTCCATCACATCCTAGGTGTTAACATATTTATTTCTACCCTGCATGTTATATCAAAAACATTTTCTAATGTCACTATGTTTGTGAAGTAATGGTTGTGTAGTAGTCTATTTTCTGGGTAATTCAAGGTTTAGCCAACGAAATTCTATAGTTGAGTGTTTAGACTGTTGTCAAATTTCACTACTTCTGTGATGAACACTGTTGCATGTAAGGCTTTGCTTTGATATACTTTCAGGTCCCGAAAAGTATAACATGGGATTTTATCAACACTCTGCTGTGTCCTGGGATAGAGTGATTAGCTCTGCCCCTTTCTGGCAGCAGGCTTTCTCCCTGCCTCTGATTTCAGATCTGCAAAAGAAAACATCCATTTTGGATAATCATGTCCACTTTTAGAGTTAACTATAGGGATTAAATAACATCATTTTACTAGTGTGTAAGCTCTAAAACCATAGGGATTTATCAGGTCACGGCTGGGTCCTGAGTGTCTAGATGGTGCCTTTATGTAAGGGGGGCTCAGTAATTAACATTAATGTATTGGAAAAGAGGTGATCATTTTAAAGGTTCTTGGTTTTTATTGTGAAACTACTTCCAGGAAAGGTATTTTAAAGACTCCCACTACAGATTTTGGGCAAAATATGCCATGTTTGTTGGCACTGAACTGTGTCATCTCTCAGTGGGATGGTGCCAGAGGCCCTGCCAGTCCCTGCTCCCTGCCAGTCCCTGCTCCCTGCTCCCTGATGTTCCTGTCAGCCCTCCCTCATCCTGACAATCATGATGCTCTTTTTTATCTGTTGGAAATTGCTGACTTTGACCTCCCTGCCCCTCATCTTCTAGTCTCCCCCACTATGACCTTTTGATCATCAAGGATGTCATTACAAATATGTCTTCTCTCTGTCTGTCTCTTTGACACAGCAGCCTCAGAGGCCACCAGTTCCAGAAGCCCTGGCTAAAGGTAGAAAGGGATGACTGATAGATACTATGTTTTTCATGAATAAGAAATGCACTTTTATTTTGTAAACCACTGAGATTTTAAAACTCACTTTAATATTCTAGCCTATCCTAGCCTGACATGCACTCATATTGCCTCCCTTTGTCGAGGGCTTGTTTTGGATCAGACCCTCATATTTTTACCTCATTTAATCTTCCTAGTGATCCTGGAGGTGATGCTTTATTGTAAACATCCCCATTTTATAGGTGATCACACTGAAACTCAAAGTGAGAGGTTAAGCGATTTGGTAATTCTGGGGCTGGACTGATTCAAACCAGCCTCAGCCCCAAAGGCAGAGATCTTATCACTAACTTCATGGTTTTTAGGCAAGTGCTTGTCAGACTATAATGTACATGCACATTTACCTGGGGTTCATGCTGAGATGAAGGTTTCTGCTCCGTAGGTCTGGTAGGTCTAAAAGTCCTAGGTGACACTAATATTGCTGATAATTGAAGTATCAGTACTTTAGGCTCTGGACTTTATTGGTTTGGTTGCTTAGGCCCTCAAGCCCCACCTTCTTTCAGGTTGGAATTATTGCTCAAAAGCTGAAGGAGGGCCTCCCCTGGCAGCGCAGTGGTTGAGCGCTGGGCTGCGAAGATGCCCGCAGCCTCTGCAGCGCCGGTTCGATCCCCAGCCACTGGAGAGGGTCCCACATGGCACGCAGACTGCCGCTCCCGCTGCTCCCCTCAGCAGTGTATTTTGTCACTCTGCCTGTTCTATTTTCCGCTCTGGCTCTGGTGAATTCTCTCACCCTCCCACGCTTCTGATTGTACCCAGTGCTTGTATAAATAAATAAATAAATCTTTAAAAATATATATTAAAAAAAAAAGCTGAAGGAAATCTGAGGAGTATGTCAGCAGGAGGGGACTGAGAAGTGAGGTCTCGCGAGGTCAGGCAGGGTGTCTGGCGCCTACCGGTCAGTGTCTGGTGTTCTTGGGTTTGACTGGAGGTGTTGGAATCATCCATATCTCGGGGCTCCTTACAGTCTCTGCAGCACAAGCAGAAGATCTTTGAGGCCAGGCTTTTGTGGGCTGTAGGGGGGAAAGCAATGAGACGTGGGTTCTGGGCCTGAATTCCAGATGCCCATTGGAAATTTACTCAAATGGGGGCCAGCCTCTCCCAAGGTGCAATAGCCTCCCCTCACCCAAATCTTTTATAGCAGCAGGTCCAGGCTCTTTTGCTTATTGTCACCATCTTTTAAAGCCATTTCTTCTTATTTTATACAGATTTCTTACCCATGGGAAGGAGTTGAAGTCCTAGTCTGCCAGGTTTGCCTGCAGGGGGCCTTGTTGAATCTGCCGATCTTGAATATGAGCCCACTTCCCCTAAATAAACATAAGACTATGGCTGAAAAATGCCAGCCCTTTACCTAGCTCTCCAGAGAGTGTCCTACTATGACAGAATCCCAGCTAGTGCGGACGTGCACGTAGGTAGTTTCAGCTCTTATGTAGGTGTGTGTTCTACCCCATTCTAGGTGCCCGTTTTTAGTCTATTTCTTCAACCTCATGATTATCATGTGAAAAATGCAGAAGTAAAGGTCTGCATCTATGATAAATATCTCCTGTGGTGCTAAGTCCACAGTGACTGCCCAGTCAGTGGCATTCCATACGCTCCCTGCTCTTCTGTTGTGTCTCACTGGCTTCACGGTGAACCAGATTAGGAAGAGTCTTGATATTTAAGCCTGGTTCTGCCAGTAACTTGCTGCATGGCTTTGGGTAAGTTCATATTTTTCTCTGTGTCTCAGGCTTCTCAGTAGTAAGAGGAAGTTAGGCTAGATAGTCTTTCTGAGGATCTTTATAGTACTGATGGTCCAGAATTATAAGGTCTTGTGTTTGTCCCAAACTTCTCTGTTCATGTACCAGCTTTTTCCAGGTCTCTGGACTTCCTATCCTCACTCCCCTGTCTGTGGCAACAAGCTCCCCCACCCCCTTTAGGAAATTCTCATTATGGCATTGGTTAGGTATCCCTCACAATCCCGAGTCAGCTGCCTCACTTAGGGGAGAAAATATTTGCACATCATACATAGAACAAGGAGCTAATACCCAGTATCTACAAGGAATTCATACAACACAATAAAACAAAGAACCCCCCAAAAAAAAAACAGGCAAAGAAGCTAAATAGCCACTTCTCCACAGAAGACACACAAATGGTCTATAGGCACATGTAGAACTGTTCAACATCACTGTCATCAGGGAAATACAAACAAAACCACTATGAGATACCACCTCACTCCAGTGAGAATGGCCTTATCATAAAAACCAGAATCAAGATGTGGAGTAAAAGAAACACTCATACACTGTTGATGGAACTGCAAACAGGTCCAGTCCCTGTGGAAAACAGTATGGAGTTTCTCAATATATTAAACATAGGTATACCATATGATTCCGTAATTCCACTCCTTGGCATTTACCCAAAGAATGCTAAAACACTAATTTAAAGAAACATATGAAATACATGCACTCTTGTGTTCATTGCCACACAATTTACAAAGGCCAAGTTATGGGAAAAGCTGAAGTGCCCAATGACAGATGAGTGGATTAAAATAAGATACACAGTATACACAGTTGAATACTATTCAGCTATCAAAAAGATGAACTTCTGCTGTTTGTAACAAACTATAGAAATGATCCCTGAAAGTATAGTCTTACTTCTGCTATTTGTGACAACGTGGATGGAATTAGAAGGGTTATGCTAAGTGAGGTAAACCAGAGGGAGAAAGGAAAATACTGATTGATTTCACTCACATGAATACAGAGAAACAAAACAAAGGAACTGACAGAACTAAACCAACACAAAATCTTGAAATGACCGCAGAATTGAGGCACTAGAAGGGGAGGAGGTGAAAACAAGGAGGGGAGAGGTCCTGATGATATACAATAAAGGAATAGGGGTGCTCTGGGTGGGTGGGGCGTGGTGATGTACATCTAAGGAGGTGTGAACCTAGTCCTCGGAATCATATATAGTGCTGTAAACCAATGTTACTGCAAATCAATAAGTTAATTAATGTAAAAAAAACCTGCTTTACATATGTACTCTCACTGTATGTGGCTATCTTAATACATGGCTAGCTTTCCCCAGCTGACTGAGAATTACAATGGCCCTCTGGCTAACTTTCAATGTTAAAAATAAGAGGGTTTCGAGAAAGAGAGAAACCAAAACACCAGACAGTCAACAGAAGACATCTTTGGTTGGTATACTCTGCCCAGAAAGAAAGGGGAAAAAAGCTCACTCCCACACAAATCTTCTGAAACCTACTTCTTCACATCTTTCTCCACCCAACTTTATCCTTACTACTTACTTACACTTCTATTCCTTCCCTGACTGCCTGTATAAACTTTCATCATGGCATATTTCTCTAAAAAAGAAACTCAACATTGCATATCATCCCCTTAAATGCCTGAACCAGAGGTGGATCCATAGAGGGTGAACTTCAACCCTGGGTGAGAGTTGAATATTTTCAATCATCCCAGACTTGAGAATGATGAACGTTGCTGTGTGTCAGGATTCTGTTGTTTATTCTGTTACTTGTTTCCCTGGATTCTCATATTTGTACCAAAAGAATTCACTTTACTGTCGACCTTCTACAATGGGGAAAATTATAGAAAAAAAACCCAGAAGATTTAATGATACATTGTCACATAGGTCTTTAAAAAATGAATTTGAGAAGATAAGAAAAATAGGAAAGTATCTCATGAAAATATGTCAAAAGTCTTTTTCTTTGTGGTAGATTGGGCAAAATTTTAAAATTGAGAAAATAAATCAAGATGAATAAATAGGAGATTCAGTGGACTCGAGGATACTTTTCAAGAACATTTTAGGGTAGACCAGCAGCTTACACAAATGGAGCCTTCTTTATGTTTTTTGCAAAGTGCTCTGAGATGAAAGCGGGGCCTTACATATAATAAATAAGAATGGGGAATGCCAACTTAGATCTCCTGATCACTTTCAAAGATCTTAAAAAGTTAACTAGAAATCAAAATAACCTTCTGAATTTTTGCATAAAATAGCTGGCAACTGAAGTAAAAATAAGACCCAAAGATCCTGGTTCTTAAAGCACATGGGATGTGTATTGAAGGACATTGTATTTACTGCTAACAGAAAGGTCATCAGAGGAACCCATGTTCTATGATAGCAGAAGGACAGCTGTCCAGGCCTGTCCAGTGATGCCATCTGAGGAGACCTTGGCATTCAACTTTCCTTCCTCTAAACTCCCAATGGAATTACCTATAAACACAGAGGTACAACAGTGTCCGCATAATGATGTGGTTTGTTTCCAATATGGAAACTAGACTCTCTGAAGCCAACTGAAACTAAGACTAATTGTTCTGTGAACACTTGGACCACTCCAAGTTTGGGGCTTCCCAGCACCCTCAGGGGACCATGGCTTCTCACACAGGATACATAAGCACAGCTCAAGGTGCTCATTTCAACCTTTAACAACAGAGTAAGTACAATTCACCCCTGGGGAATGATGACCAATTGAAAACCCTTTGCTCAAGTAGTTTTGGATAAGTGCAATGCCTTTGAGTTTGATTTTGGCTAATCAGGGGCCTATGCACCATCGCTAACACTTCATATTGTACCTTGATGAATACTACAGGTGAGGTTAATTATATTAAAACCCAAAGAAAAGACAACCTGGCTAAGGTAGACCCAGGCAATCATTTGAAATTTATTTTCTTGCTCGTGCCTGTGATTCATGGGTGCCTCCAGATCCTTCTTAAAGTAATTTAAATCATTATGGTTTGTCCCATAGCCACTCAGTGGCTATTGTTACAGAGTCAAATACTTTTATGCAGCTACTGGCCCAATAGACAATTCCACAGATGATTCAGAGAAAAACAAGAAGACAAGAGGCTGATGGATACTCAAAATGAGCATCAGATTTCTGTAGGAGGGAAAATGGAAGTGTGTCTCTAAGGAAATCCATACAGCAGTAAAGAACTGAACAACCCCAGAGGCTCTTGGTTGAGGGAGAACTGAATTGGGGAGGCTGAGAATAAAAGAAGTTCCCGTACTCCTAAGAAAAGATTGATTGTGCTGAAAGCATGGCAACAGGTCGTCACCAGAACTAATTTTAAACCCATTTTATCTAAGAATGAAACTGCCTAGTTGATTATTCCCCCGCCCCTCACCCCACCCCCCGTCTACCAAGTATCACACACTGGTGTAGTAACTCCCTGCAGTTGACGGTCTACCTTTCCCAAGTCCCCTGCCTCTGAATACCGCTGCCCACTCACTGTGTACCTCCCCAGACCCGCCAGATCAGCCACTAGCTTGCTCAGCGACTGTCAAAGAAGCGTCGTAGCTCTTTGACCAGAAAGTTTTTGTGTACATGTTAAATGGACTTGTTCCTTCTAAAGCAGCTTACATCTTGTAAATATATTGAGGCTCATCCCATATCAGCAGTGCAGCAGAAAATTTTCATCATAGGTTTGTCTGACTCTAGGGCTGATGCTTTCCACATTTTTATTACACTCATCATTTTCTTGAGAAAAAGAATAGAACGACTTTCTTCTCTGAGGGTTGGTAGCATAGAACTTTGAACTTTGAGCCCTCGTCAGAAAGGAAAGATCTTGTGGGAAGAGCAATGTATCAGTTGCAAGCATATTCTTTAAGGTATAATTCTTACTAACTCTAAAATGTAAAGAATTTAACTTCCTCAAGACTCAGTTTTTCTTATCTGTGAAATGGGGATGACAATAAGAGTTTCCACGCTAAAGGTAATTGTGAGGACAAGTAATGATGGAAAGTGCTTGGCACAGCTGTCTGACACATTGTGTTCACTCAGTAAACATCAGTGTTAAGGTTGACAAAAATGTAGTCATGATGCTGGTGGGGTGAGGCGTTTCTCGCACTACCAGTGTTATCCTCTAGATGGAAGCAGGAGCCAAAGAAAAGGGCAACTGGGTTATCCCCAGATTGCTGTGACCTTTGGGTCTCCAGTGACCCGGCAGCATTTCTACCAGGAGAAAGATCATACAGGAAGCATTCTGGAGCTGGAGGAATCCTTAGGTATCATTCAGTACAGGTGGGGAGACTGGGACCCAGAGAGAAACAGAAGGGTCAAGGTAAGGGGTGAGGTGTTAGCTACTTGCTATAGCCGAGTGGAAAAGTGTCCAGGAGTGATGGAGGCTTTGTCCCTTTAAATACAGAAAGAGTACCCCACCTGCTCTGAGGTCTCACCTTTGAGCCTCACTCACCTGCAGCTGGCAGAGCAGAGAGGAGGTTGTCTGTGATGTCACAGAGCTGGGAGCCAGGGAATGTTGGGGGCAGAGGCAGGAAGGATGCAGGGGATTTGCTGAACCCTTCTCTAGTGGTGCTGCCCTCTATCCATGATGCCATGCTGCCTGTCAAGCTGTCCTCTAGGGCACTGGAAACGTCCTGGCGCCTCTGGTGAATATGTCTCAGGGTTGGGCTAGAAGGAGGCAGTGTGGACCAGCTCTGGACGCAGAGACCTGATCTACTTTCTCTTAACATCAGCTGGGTGATCGTATTTCACATCTTGGTTTCTTCCTCTGCAAAATGGGAATAATAAAAATATTAATTACATGTCATATATATATATTAGGATTACATGAGATCAGGTAGATAAGCATTTAACACATAGTGCTTAGATGTAGCAATGTTCAAGTAATGGTTGTTAATAATATGTCCAAAAACAAAGTGACATTTTTTTTCCAACCTGTCTTTCAGAAAAAGGGGAATTGCTTTATATTTGATATCTTTCACTTTTTGGGGTATTCTTTACATTCCTTCATTTAGGACAACCCAAGTATGATTCAGGAAAACAAAACTAAGCTAAAATGTTTTCAACTACTGCTATCTTTGGATGTGTAACAGAGGTCACACAATACAAAAGAATCAAAGAAGTAAAATTCAGTGCAATTTGCAAAGCCATTGGTTGGGGATGGGGTGGAAGGGTGAGTAGGGGTTGAGGTGAGGGTGGGTGGCACTTTACCATCCTAAGTATTTGATGGGGGTAAGGTGGTCCTTTGAAACTCACTTGACAGAAAGCATTTTAAGTGGTAATCCTGAAGGTTCTCAATTCTGGCTGCAAATGAGATTCACAAAGTGTTTCAAAAAACCTACCGCCACCCTGGGGCCCAACTCTGGGTAAGTTAGAATCCTTGGGGGTGGAGCATGGAACCTGGGCATCATCTTTTTTTTTTTTTTTAAACAAAGCTTTCTAGGTAAATTTCATGTGTAATCAAGACAGAATTACAGAATTACATTGTGCAGATCACAAATCACACACTTAAGTAGTGATTTTCAGCTCAGGCTGCACTGAGGATTACAGAAGAGTTTTTATTTTTTTATTTTTTTTTTTTAAATAAATTTTATTGTTATATTCCCCATACAATTGCAGCCCCCCCATTCTGACCCCAATCCCTCCCCTCCCACCCCCGCCCCCCTAAAAGTGTCTCTGGTTCATAGTTTTTTGTTGATTTTGATTTTCACTTTCTTATAGTTATTCATTTTCCTGGTCCCTTATTTAAGTTTTCTAGATTCCTGCTATGAGTGAGACCATCCGGTATTTTTCTTTTTCTTTTTGGCTTATTTCGCTGAGCATGATCCCTTCCAGCGCCATCCATGTTGCTGCAAATTGCATGTGTTTATCTTTTTTGAATGCTGAGTAATATTCCATGGTATATATGTACCACATCTTCTTGATCCAGTCATCTATTTTTGGGCATTTGGGTTGTTTCCAAAGCTTAGCTATTGTAAACAGTGCTGCTATAAACATAGGGGTGCAGGTGTTCTTTGGAATTGATGTTTCTGTGTCCTTTGGGTAAATACCTAGGAGTGGAATTGCTGGATCATATGGAAGCTCTATGTTTAGTAGGTCCAGAAATCTCCATACAGCTTTCCACAGTGGTTGGACCATTTTGCACTCCCACCAACAGTGCAGAAGAGTTCCTTTTTCTCCACACCCTCGCCAACATTTGTTGTTGCTAGTTTTTTTAATATGTGCCATTCTCACTGGTGTAAGATGGTATCTCATGGTAGTTTTGATTTGCATTTCCCTGATGACAAGTGATGTTGAACATTTTTTCATATGCCTGTTGGCCATTTGCATTTCCTCTTCAGAGATGTTTCTTTTAAGCTCTTACAGAAGAGTTTTTAAAAAGCTTTATCCAACCCCTTCTCCAGGCCAGTAAATCACTGTTTCTGAACACAAGAAGGCTGCCCAGGTGATTTTATTTGCCATTTTTTTAAATTGTTATGCAGGTGACATAAAGCGCTGTCTAAGCCTGAGATGTCCAGGATGTCTTTGATACATTTATATATAGCAATATGATGACTGCAGTGAGTGTAGCTAACACTTTTATCACATCACATCATTATCTCTTTTTTGTGTGGAGAACAATTAAGATCGAGTTTCTTAGCAACTTTGCAGCTTATAGTACAGCATGATTTTAATTCACAGCCAGCTTTGAGAACCACTAACCTATGGAACACATTTAAGAGAACTAAATTTTCTTGATATGATGTGAATGGATTCTTGTAACTTTTTGGGAACAGAACTACATGTGAATTCAAAAGCACTATTTTTTGAATAACTTTAGAAATGAAGATTACATACTCTTAACACCTGTTATAAGAGAAAATTGAAGATGTTGATGTTGAAGATGTATGTGAAATGTTTGAGTGAAATTGTTTCAGAACGTGTGAGAGTGAGGCTAGTAATACTTCTATATTATATTTTATATAATAGCCATTGCAAATTCAGGTCATGCTGTTGAAAATAGAGCTTAATTATTTTACCTAAATGCTTACATATTCAAGCTGACCAGAATGCTTAAAAAAGAAAAATCTTTACATGGGGAAAATGGGGCATTGCTTTCCCATTTGGGAAAGCATAAATGGAATGATTGCTTCTTTCCTCTTGGGTCTGGTGTAAAAGACTAGTCAGCAGGTCTCTACTATTTCCGGTCCAGGTAAAGAAAAATGAAATCTTCAACTAAGGCAGTGGCTTACGGTGAATGGGTGATATTTAAATCTGATTCCATCATGTATGGACTCTGGAGTCACACTGCCTAGGGGAAAAGCCTGCCATGGTCATGACCTCCAACCCTCAAATTTCTTCACCTTTAGAACTGGAGCAATAATAAAATGAGAATATTAAAAAGATGTGAGGCATGAATTAGAACAGCATGGAAAGCTGTAGGTATCGAGGTGCTTGGCAGAGAGTAGTCGTCAGTCCAGATTGCTGGGGTTGCATCTTCTGCTCTTTACACTTTAGAAGAGTGAATTTTATAGTACACGCATTATATCTCAATAAAGCTATCATTCTTTAAAAATGGAATGTAAAAACAATCCAATAAGAAAATAAGAAAAAGACATGGAGACGTTTCATTTCACCAAGGATGTAGGGATAACTAATAAGCACATGAAAAGATGTTCCCCATCATTAGCCATTAGGCACAGACACATTAAAATCACAATGAGAGAGCAGACCATGCTTATTAGAATGGCCATCATAAAAAATAATGAAAAAAGCCCTGGGAAGGATACACAAATGGGATCACTCATCCACTGCTGGGGTGACTCTAAAAGTCAGACTGGAAGACAGTTTGCCACATTCACCTAAAACTCAAAATGGATTTGCCATCCAATCCATCAGTTGCACTCTTGGGCATGGATTCCACAGAAATGAGAAGTTATTTCCATAAAAATTGAGCATAAATGCTCATATTAATTTCACTTGTAATAGCCCCAAACTGAAAACTGTGTCTCCTAATGGGCAAATAAACAAACTGTGGTACCTCCATATAATGGGTCATGGCCCAGCAGAAAAGGAACCATTGATACATGTAAAATTTGGATGAACCTCAAGGAAATTATGTTGGGGGGGGGGCGGTATCGTTAATAAGAGACATGCTGTATGTTTCCGTTTATGTAACCTTCCTGAAATGACATCATTACAGAGAAAGAGAACAGATTGGTGGTTTCCAATCTGTCAATGGGGGTCAAGATTATGGGGTGTGGCTACAAAGCATTCTGGTGGTGGGGAAGTCTTGTGATGGCAGTTACATGAAGCCACATGTGGGATAAAATCACCTACAGCTACATACACATGCACACACACACACACATGCACAAGTGAGTACATATGTAACTGGTGAACTTTGAATAAGCTTTGCGGGTTGCACCAGTGTTAAATTTCCTGGGTTTTGTCTTATAAGATAGTGATACAAAAAATTAACAGTGGGGAGTCTGGCTGAAGGGTTCATAAGAACATCTTCACACATTTCTTTGTAACTTCCTGAGAATTTGAAACAATTTCAAAATGAAGTTTTTGCCAAAAACTTTTATCTAGCTTTGTCCAAACAAGTGACACCTTTTTAGTCCTTCAGTTATGGAAAGGGAGAAGCCTCAGGTGCTACAAACTGTTACTGATGTTCCTTTATAACAACAGGAAAATGGTCTCAAGCACATTATTTTGTTCTTATATGTAGGGAATTAAACAATGGTAGAAATAATAGACAAAAATCAGAATGGTATGTGACTGAAAGGATTTCAGAAATAAATAAAAAAGAAATAAAATGCTGACGTGCTGGACAGCATTTTGTCTATGGCCTATATGACAAATGTTACGAAATGAATTTATCTTTCCTTAAGAAACTCAGGGACAAGCGTAATTTTGGACACAAACTCATCTCTTGTTCACACCTTTTGAGCAGGAAATTTGGTTTATTCTTTTAAAGGATTTCAGACTCTCAATTTCCAGGAATCCTAAACCCTGGACTCCCTTCAAGGGTGTTTCTCAAATAAAGCCCTTTTGTGACTCTTACATAATTGATACTTAAGAACCTTTTGGAAAAATCCTCCTCTGCAATCTCACATTCTAAAATGAGGCTTGACTTTTGGATTGCTTCTAAATAAAAACATTTTTCGATTACACTGGAGACAAAGAAAGAAAATTTCCAGTGTAAATTTGAGACTTGTGAGAAAATGGAGAGAATAAAAGTTTCACTGTTCTCAGTGAAGGTTTTGGTTTTGAAATTTTGTCACATTGGCTTACTTCTGAGTGTGGTGGGGGTGCTGAGGAAGGAAGGTAAATACTGTCACCAGTCATTTAATTTGTCACTTATTACTCAGATCTGACATCAAAGGCAAAGACTGCGCAGCAGGAAGCAAAACCCAGCTCACTGTAGATGCCATGTTCTAGGAGACTATCTCTGAACTTCTATGGTTTCTCTGAGTAATTATTGAATCGTCTCTTTGTTACAGTGGAACTTCACAGTGACAGTCTTGGCTGTGGAGCAGAGCCAGAGAACATCCTTCTGGGCCTCTAGGGTGCCAGTGGAAAGGGCTTAGTTTCCAAAGGGGCGGTGTAGCCCCCTTGACAAAGACCCTCTCACCTGAGAGGGGGGAACCTGGCGAAGGTCCTCTCTCAGGAACTCCCGGTGGACAGTCCCTCTGAGGGCTGAATTTGTTCTCCTCCCTCCTCCATGGGGGAGAGTAGGTAAAGACACAGGAGCCACAGGCCGTGGAGGCAGGGGACACAGAGACCCCATTCCTCTCAGGGATGCAGCTTCCTTTTTACTAAGTCATCTGGTAGCTTGAGGCCCAAAAGGTTCCTCACCCTTCGGTACATTCAGGCTTCTGTTTTTCACACTTAGGGCAAATCATTCCCCTTTCTGAGTCTCCTTGGGTCAACTCGAAAGGGGACTCACAATTCCCGCCTTGCCCAGGTCAAGAACCACTGGCAGGTGGGAAGCTGCCGTTGCACCGTGTGGTGTATTGTGGACGGACATCCGTGCCATCCCCAAAGCCACGGTAGGGTCCTGAGTAGCTACCCACTCCGTGCTTTGTGAGCACTGGTGTTTGCCAAGCTCCACCATTTTACCTGCCTGAGATGCTGGGTGAGGATGGGAATGGGGTGATTTGACTGAATGATAAATAGGCAAGCTTGAGTCTAACTCTTTTTTTTTTTACTCTAAACAGCAATGCTGTTTATTTAATAGTATATCTCCTTACCTGGCACATGGATCCCAGCACAGTGCCATATTTACGTGAAAGGATGGTGCACAAATATATTTTATTGGGATTTGAGTAAAAATCTATTTTTTTACTGACTTG